TGGTGGGGAACCCTGAATTTAAACGAGAAATGGTCCCTTCCCAGTTTTATAAATAAAGTGTGTTTTCTCCCAGCTTCCCTGGAGAACTCACCTCCCACTCAGAGAAACCGGCCCTGAATCACTTTTCTCTTTTGAGAGAGCTAAGCTGCCCAGTTACCTACTTAGAGAAGGCCAGGCCTGGGCCTCTCGCTGGTCTTCTTTTCTCGTGTGACAGGGTCCCACTCCGTCACCCAGGCTGGGGTGCCGCGGCGCGATCTCGGCTCACTGCAGCCTTGACTTCCTGGGGTCAAGCGATTCTCCCACCTCAGCCTTTCAAGCAGCTGGACTATAGGCGTGCACCACCATAGCCAGCTAATGTTTGTTTTTCTGGGTTTTTTTGAGACAGAGTCCCCCAGGCTGCAGTGCCGTGGCATGATCTCGGCTCAATGCAACCTCCGCTTCCCGAGTCCAAGTGATCCTCCTGCCTCAGCCTCCGGAGTAGCTGGGATTACAGATTACAGGCACCCACCATGACACCCGGCTAATTTTTGTATTTTTAGTAGAGACAGGGTTTCGCCATGTTGGCAAGGCTGGTCTTAAACTCCTGACCTCAGGTGATCCGTCCACCTCGGCCTCCCAAAGTGCTGGGATTACAGGTGTGAGCCACCACACCTGGCCCTCTCACTAGTCCTAATGGCCTAGGCCTCTTGGGAGCACTTACGCTGCAGGGCCACAGCCACAGCTGAGGCTTATCTCGGAGAGCTGATGGAGGAGAGAGAGCAGGGCAGACAGGCCTGGACTCTGGCCAGCAGGGCAGAATCCACCCCTCCTACCAGGGCCTGCCTGGCTAGAGAGGAGATGGTCAACATGCACACTCGAGTCCGTATGAACCTCTGGGTCTGTATGTCTGCTACATATATGCATGCACATTGAAGATGCGAGTTGTAGCGCTCACTGGGGCACAGACGGAGGGCAGCTGCCACACCTATATGAAGTGGCAATAAGAATAAAGCCAGCACAGCTGTGCTTATATGTTGCTTAGCTGTCTCAGGGTCCTGGCGCTTCTCCCTGGCCCCTGCCCGAGGGGTACAGTGTCACTGTGCTCGGCCGCACAAAAATGTAGGTCTGCTTCTCCTTCGGGTCCCTGCAAGACCCCCACACACAGCCCCACAGAATGCTCAGAGGCACACCGACTGGCACCCATCACTCCATCACCCCACACCCCAGACAGATGATGTGCCCTGTCTGGCCCCCACCATCGTTCTGCCCGACAGAGCTGAGCACGGCTCCCTCCCTTCCTGGCCTCTCCTCTCTGCACCCAAAGGGCCTCACAGGTTCGTTTGAAAAGGCCAATTTATTTCATTTCCACAGAACGATGCTCTCACAAGGTCACAGTTGGCTGGAACAATGCCCAGCCCACAGACAGAGCAAAGGGCCTTTCTGAGCCCTGAGGGCTGGGGGTACAGACAGGGGAGCACCCCTGGCTCAGGCCTGGTGTTGCAGTGGGCACGGGCGAGGTGCCTCTGGGAGGAAGAAGAGGTACCTGGGGTTGCTGCTTTTGTGGCCGGGAGGACCTGACACCTCCAACCGGCCTCCCCGGGGTCCTGAGCTCTGCACCCGGCAATCTCCCCCATCCCCACTGCCCTCAGGGTCCCCATCCCTTCCATCATGCCCACCCCACCTCCAATGTGACCGGCGGGCTGTGGTGCCAGACCAGCCTTCAGGACAGGCTCAGGAGAGCAGAGGTAGAGTCTGGGAGGGGCTCAGATTCCCCGAGTCACCAGACACCGGTGGAGTGAAAAGAGGACCCAGACTCGTGGTTGGCTTCAGAGGAAGCCAGACACACAGTGGGACCTTCGCATGGGAAGATTCTGTACTCTGAGGGGTGCCTCTGACACTGGGCTCCCCACTACTGAGGCTTAAGGGAAGATCCTCCTGGAACACCCTGCTCTGAAGAAGGTGCGGGTGGCAGTCGGTGTCCTGCAGGGCAAAGAGCAGGAGGGGTGCCCAGAGCTCAGGCCACACGGGGGCACTGGGCACGCTGCCAGCCGGCCCTGGGGGGCAGAGGAAGGTGTCAGCACTAGCCTGGGCCCCTCCCAAAATGCATGGGAAGGGAGAGGCCCCCAGCAACGCCCCCAGGGAGGCCCAAAATCAGGCCAGTGTGGCCAGCCCCACCCCAGGACAGCAGCTCGGTGACACCAGGCCTGGGACATTCTCCCAGTGCCCAGTGCTGAGGCCATGGTCGGTCGCTCCCCAGCCAGGACCAGTGACCGCCTGGCCCAGCCTACACCCTGGTCAATGCCTGGGCCACTAGGGCCAAGGAGGACGAGGCCACCACATGCCAGGCCTGGCCTCTCTGTGTCACGCCTCTGGTTTCCAGGAGCTGTGAACTGACCCCTCCCGACCCCATGAACACCCCAAATCACAAAATTCATCCCCAATGCAGCCTCTCTTCATGGCTGCTGACCACCATCCCCGACCTTGTGGGCCTCAAGCTCCATGAATGTGACGAACTGTGGCTACCACCAGCCCCAGGCTCCCTCGAGACACACCCGTAGATCCCCCGCCGCCATCCCCAAACTCTGGCTGAAGAGGAGTGTGAGATATCTCAGCAGGGCTCCCTGACCCCAGACTCAACATCCACATGGCACAGCCCATGGAAGGGCAGCTCGGGGCCCATCCACCGTGTACCCTCAGGCTGGCGACATCAAGGTACTCAGGGCGACTGCCCAGGCTCCTGTCCTAACCAAGAGACTTGACAGAGCAACTCTCATGAAAGAAGGCAGACTGTGAGTGTGGGGTGACAGTCTTGCGACCCCACAGGCAGAGGGCACGGTCTCGAGGGGCAGCCACATCTCCCCAGACTGAAAACGCACAGTGACCAGGTGCGGTGGCTCATGTCTGTAACCTGAGCACTTTGGGGGGCCGAGGTAGGCTGAAGCTCAGGGGTTCGAGACCAGCCTGGGCAACATGGTGAAACCCGTCTCTACAAAAAAATACAAAAATTAGCCAGGCATGGTGGCACATGCCTGTAGTGCCAGCTACTTGAGAGGCTGAGGTGGGAGGATCACCTGAGCCCAGGGAGGTCACGGCTGCAGTGAGCCATGATAGCACCACTGCACCCCAGCCGGGGCGACAGACAAGACCCCGTCTCAAAAAAGAAAGAAAGGGAAGAAAACACACAGACCCTCTGGCCTGACACGTCTCCGCTGGGGAGCGGCCCTGAGACTGGCGGCTGCTCGCGTCAGCTGTGGCACTGCCTGCAAAGCACGCCCAGAAGCCACCGAGCTGCACACACGGGGGTTGAATAAGCCAGGGTGCGTCCAGCAGGGAAAAAAAGCGGGGAGAAGGGAAGGACTCGAAGACCAACCCAGAGCAGAGCACGACGCTCAGCACCTCTGCAGGACGGCATGAGAGACGCACGTCAGGATGCGGACGTTTTCTCTGCAGCCTTTCACAGCTTGCCTAGGCTGAGTTCCTCTTTTAGCAAAAGACAAAAAAAGAAGGTGGGTTGCCTGTGGCCAACGAGTTCTGCTTCCACCTGAGAGCACACAGACCCCCAGACCCCCACACTCAGCCAAGGACACGTAGACACACTCAGATACAACGCAGAGCTCACCCACAGAAACCCCCATGCGGGCAGACGCAGGCCCACACACATGTACATGTCCTACCTGGCACACACACACAGGCACACACCATGTACATGTCCTACCTGGCACACACACACACACACAGGACACACAGGCACACACATGTACATGTCCTAACTGGCACACACACACACACACAGGACACACAGGCACACACATGTACATGTCCTAACTGGCACCCACACACAGGCACACACCATGTACATGTCCTACCTGGCACACACACACACACACAGGACACACAGGCACACACATGTACATGTCCTAACTGGCACCACACACACACCAGGCACACACATGTACATGTCCTACCACACACACACAGACACACAGGCACACACCATGTACATGTCCTAACTGGCACACACACACAGGACACACAGGCACACACATGTACATGTCCTAACTGGCACACACACACACAGACACACAAGCACACACCATGTACATGTCCTAACTGGCACACACACACACACAGACCACAGGCACACCATTCAGGCACCACACACACACACCATGTACATGTCCTAACTGGCACCCACACACACACAGGCACATACCATGTACATGTCCTACCTGGCACCACACACACCACCAGACATCCACCGGCCACCACACACACCATGTACATGTCCTACCTGGCACACACACACACCATTATTCTAACTGGCACACCACCAAGGCACATACCATGTACATGTCCTACTGGCACCACACACACAAGACACACAGGCACACACATGTACATGTCCTAACTGGCACACACACCACACACACACGGCACACACCAGTACATGTCCTACTGGCACCACACACAGGCACAACCATGTACATGTCCTACCTGGCACACACACACACACAGGCACATACCATGTACATGTCCTAACTGGCACACACACACACACACACAGAGGACACACAGGCACACACCATGTACATGTCCTACCTGGCACACACACACACAGGCACACACCATGTACATGTCCTACCTGGCACACACACACAGGCACACACCATGTACATGTCCTACCTGGCACACACACACACACACAAGCACACACCATGTACACGCACAGTGTGGGGCACAAGATCCACCAAGACACCCATGTACGCAGATAAGGGTGCCCAAGTCCATAGTGACTCCCGGATAGAGGCACAGATGCCCTCAGTGCCCTCTGCCCGAAGACCTGGGCACACCCAGAGGCCCCTGTATGGAGTGCCTTCCTGACACACAGGCGCACACGTGCCTCAGCCGCCCACTGAGGAGTCTGCCTGGGTAAGTGAGTGCTGAGGAGACCCTGGGACAGCCGACTGCAGGCGCTACTGCAGCTCAGGGGAAGGTGGGGCCTGCCTTCCAGGCTCCACGTCAGCGAGGGGGATCCGCCCCCCTCCCTCACCAGCATCAGCACAGGCACCAGGCTGGGAACCTCACCGCCGGGGCTGAGGCAGCCAGCAGGGCAGGTCCTGAAGGTGCTGAAACCTCAGCGGGAAGTCTGTGGGCGAGGACCACACCTCCCGCTCCATCCCCGCGACTGCCTGTACTGGCCAAAACCAGGAGCACACCAAGCTGCCAACTTCTGGACTTGAAGCACTGCACAGGTCAGTGGAGAGAAGAGTAGCTGCACCAGCAGGGTCTGCAGCATCTCTCGGGGGGGTGTGGGGAGGGTGCAGACTCCAAGACCCCTGAGGGAAGGACCTTCAGATTCAAGGGAGCCAGAGACGAGCTTGGGAGTTGTGTTTTCAAAGGGACCTCTTGAGTCTACTTAGCCTGTGCATTTGCGGGTTGCTGGGGCAGGGGCAGATCCACGTCTCCCCTTCCCAGGGGAGAGCCAGCAGCTCTGTCTGCGGGAGAAGGGAACTGATCTGCTAAAGTATCACCAGGAAGAGGCAGGAGGAGGCCCCCACACACCCCACCAGGCTCCCTCTGGCCCCATGTCCTTGACCTGGCAGAGTGGCCGTCGTCTCTGCCAGAGAACTTGGAGTGGCCGTGCTCTAACAGACATCAGATCTCCAAGTTTCTGGTTGTTTTTCTTTCCCAGAATCCAGCCCAAAGAGGCCCCCAACCAGACACCCAACTCCAAGGCACCTCCCACCTGCCCAGGGCACAAATTGTCAACGGTCCCAGCTACAATGCAGGCCGCTGGGCTCCCAGAGCCCCTTGACAGCAGGGGCTCCTTCTCTCTCCCCATGGTGGGTGCCAACATCTCTCAGGACAATGGCACCGGCCACAATGCCACCTTCTCAGAGCCGCTGCCGTTCCTCTATGTGCTCCTGCCCGCCGTGTACTCTGGGATTTGTGCCGTGGGACTGACTGGCAACACGGCCGTCATCCTTGTAATCCTGAGGGCGCCCAAGATGAAGACAGTGACCAACGTGTTCATCCTGAACCTGGCCATCGCTGATGGGCTCTTCACACTGGTACTGCCTGTCAACATCGCAGAGCACCTGCTGCAGCACTGGCCCTTTGGGGAGCTGCTCTGCAAGCTGGTGCTGGCCATCGACCACTACAACATCTTCTCCAGCATCTACTTCCTAGCCGTGATGAGCGTGGACCGATACCTGGTGGTGCTGGCCACTGTGCGGTCCCACCACATGCCCTGGCGCACCTACCGGGGGGCAAAGGTCACCAGCCTGTGTGTCTGGCTGGGTGTCACGGTTCTGGTTCTGCCCTTCTTCTCTTTTGCTGGCGTCTACAGCAATGAGCTGCAGGTCCCAAGCTGTGGGCTGAGCTTCCCGCGGCCCGAGCGGGTCTGGTTCAAGGCCAGCCGTGTCTACACGTTGGTCCTGGGCTTCGTGGTACCTGTGTGCACCATCTGTGTGCTCTACACAGACCTCCTGCGCAGGCTGCGGGCCGTGCGGCTCTGCTCTGGCGCCAAGGCTCTAGGCAAGGCCAGGCGGAAGGTGACCATCCTGGTCCTCGTCGTGCTGGCCGTGTGCCTCCTCTGCTGGACGCCCTTCCACCTGGCCTCTGTCGTGGCGCTGACCACAGACCTGCCCCAGACCCCACTGGTCATCAGCATGTCCTACGTCATCACCAGCCTCAGCTACGCCAACTCGTGCCTGAACCCCTTCCTCTACGCCTTTCTAGACGACAACTTCCGGAAGAATTTCCGTACCATGTTCAGGTGCTGAGGGGCCTGAGCACCCACCATCACCCCCACCACCACCCAGTTCGGGTTGTCTCTTTCAGGGGGTGCCCATCCTGTTCACATCCCAGTGCTGTCTTCTCCACACAGTGAGACACAGACCCTCAAACACTGGCCACCAGACCTACAGAGACAGCTGTGGGCATATACCTTCCATGTCTCTGCTTCCTGGACAGCCCCTGGGTGGACAGCAGCAGGGAGCCAGGTCCTGGCAGAAGGCCCCAACACAGCAAGCATCCTGAGTCCACTTACCCACGAGAGACAGACAGATGGACAAGCCCCTCGGAAGGCTCTGGGCCTCAGGATCCCTAATGACAGTGATCGGGAGGGAAGGGACCCGAACTATGGTCTTGACCTGGGCCAGCGCCACGTTGCACAGTCTCTCCCCAAGACAGGGTTGGGAAGTGGCAAGTGCGGGCGCCTCAGACAGCAGCAATGCTGTGTGGCTGCAAAGGCCAAGGACACCTGCACCAAATGAGACCATGGAGTCCACTCTCATGGCCTGAAACCCCAGTGACATTCCAGCAGGAGGCCCATCCCCGCTGTGCCCGCATGCCATGGCCTGTGCTCCTCTGTACCCCCCATGCTGTGGCCGATGGTCCTCTCATATTTTGCTAGAGGGTACAGGGCCCTTTTGCCAGGACCTCTGGGCCACCACAGCCTAGGGACCATCCGTCACTTGGACAGGCTGGCACCTGGAACTCTTTCTCCGTTGGTGTGGCCAGGGGCTTGTAATCAGCCAGCAGGAGCTGCTGAAACTCTGGTGGGGGCAGGGTGAGGGTGGTAATGAAGTGCAGGCAGCTGTCAGGTGGGAGGGGCCGGGGGCTGGTCCCAGGTGTGCTGTGGCCAGGCCCTGACTCTTGGCCCCATGGCTCTCAGCTGGTTCCATGCCTGGCATTCCAGCCTGGCAGTGAGGTGTGAGTGCTCTGGGTTGGTTTCAGTCCTCATGACCCAGAGCTCTGATCAATCTGTCCAGCGGGCACACAGGACCCACCATTCACCAGCCCACGAGGCATCTCACGGTGTACGCCCACCTCCACCCATCCACCAAGTACTCCAGCTCTCCAGGCCACGAGGGCCCTGCCTGTTGAGCCCCCTCAGCTCAGGCCTGCATCAGTGCCCCTCCTCCGTGCTAGCCAGCCAAACACGCCAGGGCTGTCTCCATCCACTTATCCTCCCTGACAACATTGTATTAGTTATCTGTTGCTGCATAACAAATGTCTCCAAAACTCAGCAGCTTAAAACAACTTCTTCTATTTCACAGCTTCTGTGGTTCAAGAATTAAAGTGGCTTTTTGGGTGGTTCTGGCTCAGGGTCTCTCCTGAGGTTGCAGTCAGGATGTTGGCCAAAGCCCTGGCCCTCGGAAGCCTGGGCAGGGGCTGGGGTATCTCCTTCTGAGAAGTCTCCCTCCCTTGGCTACGGGCAGGAGGCCTCTGCTCCTCACCACATGGATGCTTCAGGGGCTGAGTGTCCTCAAAACATGGCACTGGGTCCCCCAGAGCCAGCGACCCAGGAGGGAGCCAAGAGGACGCCTCAACACATTTGAGGCCAAGTGTCCGGAGCCACTTGCCATCCCTTCTACTACATTCTGTGTATTGGAAGCAAGTCACAGGTCCAGCTCACACTCGGGGGCTGCAGACTGTTTATTTTTCTTTTTTTTTTTTTTTTGACACGGAGTCTCGCTCTGTCACCCAGGCTGGAGTGCAGTGGCCGGATCTCAGCTCACTGCAAGCTCCGCCTCCCGGGTTCACGCCGTTCTCCTGCCTCAGCCTCCCGAGTAGCTGGGACTACAGGCGCCTGCCACCTCGCCCGGCTAAGTTTTTGTATTTTTAGTAGAGACGGGGTTTCACTGTGTTAGCCAGGATGGTCTCGATCTCCTGACCTCGTGATCCGCCCGTCTCGGCCTCCCAAAGTGCTGGGATTACAGGCTTGAGCCACCGCGCCCGGCCTGTTTATTTTTCTTTCGCTTCAATATTTTTTTTAAATCGAGAAGGGGTCTCACTCTGTTGACCAGGCTGGAGTGCCGTGGTGCGGTCACGGCTCACAGCAGATTCGACTTCCTGAGCTCAGGCAATCCTCCCACATCAGCCTCTGGAGTAGCTGGGACCACATGCGTGCCCCACCATGCCAGGCAATTTTTTTTTTTTAAAGACGAGGTCTCACTATGTTGCCCAGGCTGGTCTCAAACTCCTGGGTTCAAGTGATCCTCCTGCCTCAGCCTCCCAAAGTGCTGGGATTACAGGCATGAGCCCAGCCTGTGGACAATTTTTAAGCCACCACCCACACCCACACCGCAGGAAGAACAAGCTGTCCCTGGATTTGTTTCCTGGCTGCGCTGCAGTCACACCTCGCAAAGCAGCTGCCTGTTACTGTGACTGCAGCCTGTTACTGTGCCCGCACGCTGTTACTGTGCCCGCGCGCTGTTACTGTGACTGCAGCCTGTTACTGTGACTGCAGCCTGTTACTGTGCCCGCACGCTGTTACTGTGCCCGCGCGCTGTTACTGTGCCCGCACGCTGTTACTGTGCCCGCACGCTGTTACTGTGCCCGCACGCTGTTACTGTGCCACTGCAGCCTGCTACTGTGCCCGCGCGCTGTTACTGTGCCCGCAGCCTGTTACTGTGCCCGCAGCCTGTTACTGTGCCCGCACGCTGTTACTGTGACTGCACGCTGTTACTGTGCCCGCACGCTGTTACTGTGCCCGCGCGCTGTTACTGTGCCCGCGCGCTGTTACTGTGCCCGCGCGCTGTTACTGTGCCCGCGCGCTGTTACTGTGCCCGCGCGCTGTTACTGTGACTGCACGCTGTTACTGTGCCCGCGTGCTGTTACTGTGCCTGCAGCCTGTTACTGTGCCCGCACGCTGTTACTGTGCCCCGCGCCGCTGTTACTGTGACGGCACGCTGTTACTGTGCCCGCGTGACTGTCGCCTGTTACTGTGACTGCAGCCTGTTACTGTGCCTGCAGCCTGTTACTTTGCCCGCGCGCTGTTACTGTGCCCGCACGCTGTTACTGTGCCCGCACGCTGTTACTGTGACTGCAGCCTGTTACTGTGCCTGCAGCCTGTTACTGTGCCCGCGCGCTGTTACTGTGCCCGCAGCCTGTTACTGTGCCTGCAGCCTGTTACTGTGCCCGCACGCTGTTACTGTGCCCGCGCGCTGTTACTGTGCCCGCAGCCTGTTACTGTGCCCGCGCGCTGTTACTGTGCCCCGGAGCCCCTTGAGGAGACAAGTGAGACTGTTTCCCAGACACCCGCTCCCAGCCAGGTGTGAGGCCTAATGCGGAGTGAACAATGAGGGCGGGCAGGAGAGGCTGGGGGAGGGAGTGTGCGCAGGCAGGGCTGAGCGCGAGCCCCACGGGGTGGGGGGAGGGGCGGGGCGCCAGGGCGAGGGCCCCTGCAGCGCTCAGGGCCCAGGTCTCCCACCCGGCCCCCAGGTTGCCCTCTGGCCCCAGCGGGACGTCTCTGCTGCAGAGAAGGCGCCAACCAGGATTCCTCCAAAGAACCCAGACCCCTTCTGACCTCGGGCGGCTCCTATCCCCATCCACAGTCCGGCAATGGGATCCTCAGCTTCTTCTCGGGGACCAGGCAGATCAGGCACAGCCACAGGGTCTGCAGACCACCGCCCAGCCAGGGAGCAGCAGAGACCCCCGAGGACTGGGGAGGCCGCAGCCAGCCAGGAGGGAGGGCGCGGGGCAGGGGCCACACCGGGCGGCTCAGCCCGCCACGTCTGCACGCTCTGGGCTCCTGGTCCCCGGGGCAGCCCGGCCCCGCCACCCACATTCGGACCCCGCTGGTCACCGCGGTTCCCACCGCCGCGCCCTGGGCCCAAGGCTGGGCCCGCCCGAGCCCACAGCGCCCCCTGGCGGGAGGGTCCGACGCCGCCGCTGAACCCCGCCTCCCTGCGGGACGGGACCCGGACCCTCCCGGGCGCCCCAGCCGTTCCCCACAACCCCACAAAGAGGGTTCTGCGGTCCCCTGTGCACAGGGAAGTTAACTGAGGCTCAGAAAAGCCAGGCGACTTGACCAAGCCCAACAGCAGAGGTGGGTTGGGGGAGCCGGGGGGCTGGAGAGGAGACCCAGGGTGTGGTCAGAGGGGTGGGGAGAGCGAGGGAGCTGGTCAGCCTCCAACACCCCCCAACTCCTCCTCCAGCCCTGGCCCGTCTGGCCGGCTCCTTCTGGAAGACACTAGCTGTGGGCTTAGCCCTGGATCCACACCCACCCGAGGACAGGACAGCACCACGTGTGAGCCTCTTCCACCAAGCCCACACCATCTCCCGGGCCCAAGGGCACGGTGACTACCCCGGTGCAGCCTGTCCCTCCCAAATTGTCCCTTGATGCTAAATTTTTGCTTTAATGGCAATGTGTTTGTTATGAACTATTTGTGTTCCTCCAAAATTCATATTTGGAAATCCCACCCCCCAAGCTGATGGTATCAGGAGAAGGGGGCCTTTGGGAGATGACAGGTCATGACGGCAGAGTCCTCCTGAAAGGGATGAGTGCCTTTAGGAACCAGATGCTCTTGAGCTCTCAAACCCATGTCATGACATAGTGAGAAGACGGCCCTCTACGGCCTGGGGTCTTTCCCAGAACCTGACTGTGCCTGCACCTCATCTCTGATCCCCAGCCCCCAGAACCGTGAGAAATAAACGTCTGTTGTTTCTATTGCCATTGGATCTATGGTGCTTTGCTACAGCAGTCCAGGATAAGACAGTGTCCGTCATTCAAACCTATATAAAACCCTACAGAACTTGCCCATCTGCCCATGCCCTGGAGACAAGCGCTTGGACTGGAGTGTGCCGGTGCCCACCCTCCAAAGCTGCTCTGTTTTGCAGGTCAGCCTGGGCTGCACTGGGCCAAACAGGAACCAGGAGGCAGATGTCCACGGCAAGCGTGTGCCCAGCCCCAGAGGAGGCTGTCTGCTCATCCTTCACAAAAACTCCCCTCAGATCTGCTCTAGGAAGGGAAAATGAGCAGGAGCAGGGGTTCTTCTGAGATGAAATAGGGGGAAGAAAACCCTGAGGCCTGGGTGGGAGCAGCCTCCTCCCACTGGATCCTCAGGAAATCTCTTTCCAGGGGGCAGGGGAGAGGTGCAGCCATTGGTTATTTAGGGAGAAACTGTGTGTGGTGAAGAAAAGGTAACAGCCCGGCCAACACACCATTAACTGGCTTCAACTCTCCCCAGGGTTGCAGCCTCCTGGAGGACCCTTCACTGAGGACAGAGCCCAGCCTGTTGAGCAGCACAGGACAAGTGCAAGAACTCAGCCTAAACCCCATAGCCTCCTCCCACTCACGTGCCAATCCCAGAAAAGTCACCCCAAAGGCAAATCCCCAGGTGGCAGGAGCCAGAAACACCTGTCATGAAGATACCCAGCCAGTGAGCAGGTGTTTATTAGGGTCCTTTTTCATTACCCCAGAGACAGACCCAGGGCTGGCTGCGTGCACAGGAAGTAACGATTGCCACATGCATAAATACGTGAAGATGCACATTACGTCAGCACAGAGTCACAAAACACTTAGCCTTGGCAAGAAAACACTGTAGCTAGGCAGCTCCCGCTCTCAGAGACTCCTGCCACAGATGTCACGGAGACAGCAGGGGCCTCCCCAGGGACAGTCCCCACGGCCTAGACTCCCCAGAGCTGGAGGAGCAGCCCAGGCTCTGTGGTGAGACGGCCATCACTTCCTGTTCTTGGCAGGAGCCTAAGGTTACCTGGCCAAGGTCTTGATGGAAAAATGAGTTTTTACAATGTTGCAGGTCTTTTAATAGTTCGTCTGTAGGAAGTGCATTTGCAAAGTCACCAACCTGCAGCTGCCATCTGTAGACCAGGAAGGGTGATTCTCTGGTTGACCACAGCAGGGCATCCCCTGAGGTACAGAGACCCCCTCCCACCCCCACAGTGTTCTCACAGCCAGTACAGCGCTTGCAGTTTGGCTCAAGCAAGCCCTGGCAAGCCCCACCCCCATGCTGGCTCTGCTGTGAAGCCATCCTCTCGCTGGGCGGCAAGTTCAGGCCCTACGCAGAGCCATCTTGAGGCTTGTAAATGAAGCAGGCGTCACCAGAGCAGGACTCCGCTGTGGCCACCGGCTTCTCCTTCCGCACAGCTTCCCCTGCAACACAGCTCCCCCAAAACACTGCACGGCCACTGACCTCCGGCTTCAAGCAAAGGAGAGGCTGTGAGGGGAGCCCTGGGAGGATGTGGAGACCCCCCGGGAGGATGTGGAGACCCCCAGAGGATCCTCTCCCACCCTGCTACAAACAGCAGTCGAGACCAGGAAAACGAGGCCTCGACTTGGTGAACAACAGGCTGCCCATGTGGTCACACGGCGTCTTCCTCCTGGGACACCTGCCACACACCGAGAAGCAGAGCTCGGTTGACGGTCCACAGCATGACAGTTCATTGCACTGCTGGAGGGAATGGGCCGGGGCCTCCCGTGGGTCTCCTGAAGGGAAAGGGGGGTTGGACCCAGAGCCAAGCTCAGTCAGGGATGAGGCCTGCACAGCACAGCACACAGGAAACCTTCAGAGGTGCGGCTGGCCCAGGACCAGCTCGGGGTCTGCAGCCAGGGACAGCCAGCCCACCTGGACACTCTCCTGGGGTGGCCCTGGCTGCACAGGTGGAGTCAGAACGGGCGAGTCCTCCTGGTGGCGGCTCCAAGCTCAGGGCAAGTCCCACCCCAAAGAAATGCTGCCTGTTGGACTTCCCGGGCAGCGCCAAGTCTGTCCCAGAGGAGACGTCCCAGGGCTGAAGGCAGCTGGAGCCCTGCCATGCAAACAGCACACAGCACGTAGGGTGCACAGGACGACACAGCCGCTGCTCCTCCTCCGGGTGCGCCCACCCAGGGTTCTGCCAACACAGCAGCAGAGAGGCCAAGAGTCACGTGAAGCACGGGCAGGGAGGGGCACGGGCTCCAGTCGCGGCCGTCCAGCAGCACGGCAGCTGCTTCCAGGTAGGTCTTTGTGTCACCTCAGCCATGCACCAGGCGGGCAGCTTTAGTCTGTCTGGGGCCACGGAGGTAGCCCTAACGCTCTGACCTGTCCCATGATGTCACTAGGTCCTCCTCTGGGACCAAGTGTCCCTGGCCCACAGGGAAAAGCCCATCCAAGGCTCTGGATGCTCAGGGCTCAGGGTGTGTCAGCCTAGAGAGCAGTGACTTGTGTGAGCTCCGTGTTGGGCGTAGATGGGCTCTGCGGGCTGACGGGCACCATAGGCAGGTCCACGCCTAGTCACGCGGGCCGCGGTACCGTCTCAGAGGTCTTGCAGGCCAGGGCCACATCTTTGGCAATGCTGCGCACACGGTCGGACACCTGCACCTCCCGGCGCAGGGCAGAGGCACAGCAGAACTTGCGGAAGCAGGCCTTGAAGTTCTCATCCAGGAAGGCATAGAGGATGGGGTTGAGGCAGCTGTTGACGTAGCCCAGGGCCGTGCAGAAACGCAGAATGGCCACGGCAGTCTCGCTGCCTGGCTGCACTCCCAGCCCTTGGACCAGCACAAAGACCTGGACAGGCGTCCAGCAGCCCACGAACACAGCCACCACCACCAGCACCAGCCGAGTGATGCGCCGCAGGTTCCGGTCCTTCTCCCGGGAGCCCGAGAGCAGGCGGACTCCGCGGAGCCTCCGGATCATGAGGCTGTAGCAGACGGAGATGATGAGCACGGGGACGATGAAGGAGAAGAGGAAGATGCAGACGGCAAACACAGGGCCCCAGTAGTCCTGTGGGGCAGGGATCTCCACCAGGCACTCGATCTCTGCAGGGAGAGAAGTGGGGTCAGAGTGGGCCCAGGAGACGTGGAGGGCAAGTGGGCCCAGAGGAGCCACCCAGGAGCCGTGGAGAGCCTGGTGAGGGGAGGAGGGGACACCCCACTGACCTTCATCCTCGACCTGTGCCGAGCCCATGATGGCAACAGGAACACCAACAACAGAGGCCAGGGCCCAGATGGCCACATTGACAGCCTGGGCTTTGCTGGATGTGCGGACGTCGAGGGCGCGGATGGGGTGGCAGATGGCTACGTAGCGATCCACACTCATGGCAGTCAGGGTGAAGGTGCTGGTGAACATGTTGTAGTAGTCAATGGCAATGACTGTCTTGCACAGGGCATTCCCAAACGGCCAGAAGCCCAGGAGGATGTCTGTGCCCTGGAAGGGCAGCGTCAGCAGGACCAGAGTGTCTGCCAGGGCCAGGTTAAAGATGTAAATATTGGTGGCTGTCTTCATTTTGGTGTGCCTGCAGAGTACAGGAAGAAGAAAGGCTTCACTTGGCTATGCCGGCTGGACCGGGCAGCAAAGGGCAAGGGGCTCGTCTTGGCCACCGCAAGCTACACTGGCCCTGAGTCCCTTAACATCAGAGTTCCCATGGGGGCTTGGTAAGTGACAGCTCCTGGACCCAACCTGAGACTCACTGAGTCAGTCTCAGGGGATGGAACCTGGCATCAGACATCTTCACCAGCTCTTCAAGTGACTCTGACACACACCAAAGGATTCCAAGCCTTAAACACGAGTCTACTTTACAGGGGTCAGGGCATGTAGGGTACGAGAACTCACCCCAGACTCCACGGGAGCGAAGGGTTAGAGCCCTAAGGGAAAAAGCCTGCTCTCCTTGCTTTTGAGTCCCCTCAGAGACCCCTCACAGACTCAAATGCTGACCCTACAGTTGCCAGAGGTTTCTGAGAGCTCCGGAATCTATAAGAACATACCAAAAGGCTTCCAAGTCCACACTGCTATCTAGCAACGGAGACAGAAAATGGTGACGTGGACAGGAGGGATGCTAATAAGGTATGATTGTATCCAAGCACCTGAAAAGGTGCTGGAAAGGGCTGGGAAAGTTGTTGGTGGTTAATAAATTTTTGTTAAATCAGTTAATGGTTGTAATATTTGGGGGGGGATTATGGTGGTGGTGGTGGTGATGATGGTAGTGATCATGGTGGTGACGGTGATGATGATGGTGATGGTGATGATGGTGGTGGTGATAGAGAGGATGGTGATGATGGTGATGATGATGAACGTGATGGTGGTGATAGTGGTGATGGTGATGATGATGGTGATGATGATGAACGTGATGGTGGTGGTGGTGGTGATGGTGATGATGATGGTGATGACGATGAACGTGATGGTGGTGTTAGTGGTGATGGTGATGATGATGAACGTGATGGTGGTGGTGGTAGTGATGGTGATGGTGATGATGGTGATGACAGTGGTGGTGATAGAGAGGATGGTGATGATGATGAACGTAATGGTGGTGATAGTGGTGATGGTGATGATGGTGATGATGGTGATGATGAACGTGATGGTGGTGATAGTGGTGATGGTGATGATGGTGATGATGGTGATGATTATGAACGTAATGGTGGTGGTGGTGGTGATGGTGATGATGGTGATGATGGTGATGATGATGACAATGAACGTGATGGTGGTGGTGGAGGTGGTGGTGGTGGTGGTGATGATGATGGTGATGATGGTGATGATGATGACAATGAACGTGATGGTGGTGGTGGTGGTGATGGTGATGATGGTGTCACGTGATGGTGATGACTGTGATGATGGTGGTGGCGGCGGTATTGGCAGTGGCAGCAGCGCCCGAGATGACACTATTCTATGTCAGTTTAGCTGCCTCGAGGAAATATGGGGCTCAGTTCTGCCTCTTAGAGAGGGATTATGAATAAGCACAAAGAGGCCGCAATTACAAAGAGAAAACAACAATGACAATGATTATGGCAAATACCTGTGCCAAGCTCTTCGGGGGAATTTATGTCATTGAAGATTTACAAAAATGCTACTTTGATCCCCACTCTATAGAGGAAGAAACTGAGGCCTACAGGATCTATGTTGTTTTTTTTAGGCCTTAGAGCTGGTAAAAAGCAGGGCAGGGCTCAGAACAGAGTGTTTCTGACTCCTGGGATGGTCACCCCAGCCCACTGGCTCACAACATGCTGCCTCTTGGGCCAGTGTGGCCACAGCAGCCCCTGAGCATCGCTCTCTCTGGGGACTCTGCCCAGCAACATGACCTTCCCTGCCTGCTCTAATCCAAGAAGTGCCTCTGAGAGGTTGAACACCTCAGTGTAGAGGAGAAAGACAGTAGAGAAGCGGTAACAGCCGGAAAGGTGCTCAAGCACAGGGACTGCCCCAGGCCGCCGCACTCCTCAGCCGTGACGCGCCAGCCAGCCACGAAGGGACATGCACATCACGGAGCAACCTCCGTGGAGCCTCCCTTAGGAGTCAGCTCTGGGGAGGGGCAGCTGTTCTTCCCACTCTCTCGTCTGACCACGCATCACCTGCACACATGCGCACACACACACGCGCACACACACGCACGCACGCACGCGCACACGCACGCGCACACACACGCACGCACGCGCACACACGCAAGCACGTGCACCCACACACACGCACGCACACACACGCACACACGCACGCGCACACACGCGCGCGCACGCACGCGTACACCCACACACACGCGCGCACACGCACGCGCACACACACGCATGCACACACGCACGCACACACCCACACACACGCACGCACACACGCGCACACACACGCGCACACACACGCACACACATATACACGTGGTTACATGGTCCACCTTGCTCACTTTCCAGATGGGAAAAACAAGGCCCAGAGGGGAACAGCTTTTCTCAGGGACACTAAGAGGACAGGGCTGGGATGGTGGCAGCTTAAACACCCCCACTACCCTGCCCTGCCTCTACCTACATAACACCTCTGGTTGGGACCCTTTGAGGTTATAAGGAGGGAACACTTGCTTTAGAGCCCTGGACACTGTCTTCAGAACTGCCTTTTTCTGGGTCCAGGCAAATATCCTGGACCAATAAGAAACCTCATTCCAGCTGTCAGTCATCTTCCTGCTAAAGCACCACCCATAACCCCCCACTGCCTGAAGAACAGAGTTCCCCCACCCGGGCCTTCAGGATCCCACCTGCTGTCCCCAGGCCCTTCAGTTCTCTCTCCTCTGGATGGATTTGGGGTCCGTCATTTCCTCTGCCCAGAAAACCCTCCCTTTCTGCTTAAGTCACCTCCATCTTCTACCTGCCCAATCCACAATCCATGTGAAGGTTTCCTTGTTCACCCCCACACTGATCCCATGCTGTGCCCATGCTGTCCCCAATGCTATCCCCCTGCTATCCCCCCACTATCCCCCTCACTACCCCCCCACACTATCCGCCTCATGCTATCCCCCCACTATCCCCCTCACTACCCCCCCCACACTATCCGCCTCATGCTATCCCCCCACTATCCCCCTCACTACCCCCCCCACACTATCCGCCTCATGCTATCCCCCCACTATCCCCCTCACTACCCCCTCACACTATCTGCCTTATGCTATCCCCCCACTATCCCCTCACTACTCCCCACACTATCCCCTATGCTATCCCCCACTATCCCCTCACTACTCCCCACACTATCCGCCTCATGCTATCCCCACTATCCCCCTCACTACTCCCCCACACTATCCGCCTCATGCTATCCCCCACTATCCCCTCACTACTCCCCACACTATCCGCCTCATGCTATCCCCCCACTATCCCCTCACTACCCCCCACCACTATCCACCTCATGCTATCCCCCCACTATCCCCCTCACTACCCCTCACACTATCTGCCTTATGCTATCCCCCCACTATCCCCCTCACTACTCCCCCACACTATCCGCCTCATGCTATCCCCCCACTATCCCCCTCACTACCCCCCCACACTATCCGCCTCATGCTATTCCCCCACTATCCCCCTCACTACTCCCCCACACTATCCGCCTCATGCTATCCCCCCACTATCCCCCTCATTACCCCCTCACACTATCTGCCTTATGCTTCCCCCCATTATCCCCAAGCTCCCCCCCACTGTCCCCCACACTATCCCGCCATGCTATCCCCCTGTTATCTCCCTGGCTGCTCCCTGTTGTCCCCCACAGTATCCCCCACACTATCCCCCTGGCTGCTCTCCACTATCCCCCTGCACTGCCCCCCACACTGCTCCCCACACTGCCCCCCCCACTGCCCCCCACACTGCCCCACACTGCCCCCCTACTGCCCCACACACTGCCCCCCGCACTGTCCCCCGCACTGTCCCCCGCACTGTCCCCCCACTGCCCCCACTGCCCCCGCACTGCCCCCCACTGCCCCCACTGCCCCCGCACTGCCCCCCACTGCCCCACACACTGCCCCCCGCACTGCCCCCGCACTGTCCCCCCCTGCCCCCCGCACTGTCCCCCCACTGCCCCCCACTGCCCCCGCACTGCCCCCCACTGCCCCACACACTGCCCCCCGCACTGCCCCCCGCACGGTCCCCCACACTGCTCCACACGCTGCTCCCCACACTGTCCCCACACTGCCCCCCACCTGCCCCCACACTATCCCCTTGGCTGCCCTCCATTATCCCCCTGCACTGCTTCCCACACTGTCCCCGCACTGCTCCCTCAACCGCAACTATCAGCTGCCCTCTCTTTGGCCCCCACAAGTTTTCCCATCTCAGAGCACCAACAGATGATGGGCTCAGCCACACACACCTGCCATAAGCAGGAGCCCTGGAACCTGAGAAGGGGTTTCAGGACTGTCCCAGCACCAGCCCCTGCGCCTCCCTTCACCCATCTGGGGAATGGGCTGAAAAGAGCCTCTCACAGGGCCGCTGTGGGGTCTCATAAGGTCATTGAAGCAGACAGCTTGATACAGAGCCTGGTCCACAGCTCAAACCAGGGGTCAGGGTGGTGACGCCTCTACCTGGGACAGAATGGGGTGGGCCAGGGCCAGCCCCTCCCCTCCCCTCCCCTCCCTGGGGCCTCAGGATTGACCCTGCCTCCTGGACAGGGTCCAACAAATTGAATGGGGGAAGCAGGAAATCAACACCTGCTCAGGCCCGTCCAGAACAGCCTCCGCCTCAGCTTCCCCCTCTGCAGCTGTGTGGGACTCAGCAGACAGGAACCTCGTGGCCCAGCCTACCTGAGGATGACGTACATGACGAGGCAGTTCCCCAGGAGCCCCCCGACACACACGGCCAGGTAGAGCCCCACGATGGTGACCTTGAGCCCGAGGGGCAGGAAGGCGCTGTGACTGGCATTGAGCAGCAGATGCGGAGGCAGCAGACTGTGGTTGGGACTGAGGAGGGACAGGTTGCCCTGAAGGTGGCTGCCGTAGATAACCTCCCAGAATGGGGCGGGGAAGAGAGGCTCCATGCCACTGCCCTGCAAATCCACTCAGTGCAGCACCTGGGACAGAGCACAGACAAGTGGCTGCAGTGCCAGACACACGCCCAGCCGAGGCCTCACAACCCAGCACGTGCAGCCCAGCAGGCACGTGGACCCCCACACTGGGCAGGCACAGGCACGGAGGTACACGGGCACACAGAACACACAGGCACACATGCACAGGCAGGGGCACATGGAGACACGAGGACACAAAGACACACATGCACCCGCAAGGACACAGTCTCGTTCGGTTTAGAGACTCACATACAGGCTGCCTGGAGGCAGTTACACCCCAGGACACTGTCCACCCGCAGGGACTCATGAACACACAGCCACTCGTTGTGTTCACAGGCACAGGGATGCAGGGACACACGTCACACACAGACACACAGAAATGTCCAAACCTGCCCTCATGCACACGCAGGCACAAAAGAGACAGACACACCCAGAAACGCCTGGGACCCAGCCTTCCTCCTGGGAGCACAGCTTCCTCCTGCTCCCCCGCCCTGCTTTGCTGCAGTCTGTCAGCAGGACCCCCACCGGACCTCCAGCTCCCACCCGACCTCCAGCGGCTCAGGTCCTTACCTCTGCAACCTCCTTGGGAGCTGGGACCACCGTGGAGACCCCCACCCTCAGCCAGCCGGCAGTCTGGCACAGGTGCAGAGCAGGGTAGAAGAGGCCCAGCCGCCACTCGCCTCAGTACAGGATCTTCTCAGCAGACGCCAGACCAGACGCAGCAGCAGAGTGAGCCCGGCAGCCTGAAGCAGAGGGGAGGAGGAGGAGGAGGAGGAGGAGGCTGCAGCTCCAGAGGGGGAGGGGCTACGCAGGCTGGAGGAGTGGGGGCTGCGGATAGGTGGGTCACCGTGCCCAGGGCTGCGCCGGCCCCACACTGAAGGGGACAGACACACAGACAGAGATGAACAAGGAGGCTCGGACCCACAGACCCCAGACAGAGACGCACACACAGCCCAGGATACATGGACAGAGATGCCCACGGGTTCACAGACACAGGACAGAGAGACACACACAAGGACACACAGACTCACACCCAGGGACGGAGTCTCAGGGAGACACACACGGAGACATGTTCACAGACTCGGACACACAGACACGGGGCCACGACTCACACAGAGACACAGCCTTGCACAGACTGGCCCGGACCCCGCAGTTGGGCTCCCAGCACCCCAAAATGCCCCCACCTGGCCAGCTCTTGGCAGATCAAAGCTTCATTGTAAACACGCAGGCAAGATGCTTGGGTCCAGGACACGGTACTGGCCCGGCACCTACTGTGTGCTCCTGGAGCTCAGTCACCCCACTGTACCCGGCCACTGCTAGAGCATGAAGCCTCAGAGGTGTGAGGCCGCCTGTCAGAGTGTCAGAGACAGGGTTGAAACGCCAAGGGCACCTCTGCCACAGCTGGGTCCCAGATCAATGCCTGAGCATCACTCCCTCAGACAGGCCCCTGGCACCCACACAGCTGAACGCTTCCTTTAGAGGTGCCTCCTTCTCAGCTCAGGGTCCCATGCCTGATCCACTGAGATGAAAGGTCACAGGTCAAGGCTGTCTGGGTGACCCCTGAGCTGAATCACCAGCTCCCACCCCGTCATGGGGTCGTACTTCCTGCACGAGCTTTGAAGGAGAACCAGACCTGTCCCCACACAGCTCAGACCCTGCTCAGAGCACCTTCTCCAAGAGTGGGGACCTGGTTGCTAGGCAACTGGCAGCAGGGTTGCTAGGATACCTGGCAAATCAGGAGAGGATGGAACAGGCAGATGCCCCAGGACCCAGCATCCCTCGCTGTCCCCCAGGACTTATCCCTGCATCTTCACGGCAACCAAGACTCAGGGACACGTGTGAAGGCACGGGGCACGTCAACAGAGACACTCAAGGGACACACGGGGACACACATTCCTGCAAACACACAAACAGATGCCCAGACAGGCATACGGGTGAACACACAGAGGCATGGTTACACACTCAGAAACGCAGACACTCACAGGGATGCACAAACACATCAAACACACGGGCCACACACGTGCAAGACGACGCCAAGGTGCGCACAGGCACATGGGCAGACCCAGAGTGTGCATGGACACCTTCGGGAACAGGCAGACACAGGCCAAGGCCCTCCGACACCCAGAGGACCCACACGTGCACAAACACGCTCTCCAGGCAAAGCTCAAGGATGAGCCCCCTGACCTCAGGAGCCGAGAGGGGGCAGAAATCCAGGCAGGCTTGGACTCCTGCAGTCCCCAGCCCCAGCTGGGCTCACCAAGATCTGAGCAGGAGACCCTAGACCCTCCTACCCCAGCTTCCTGAGCCTGCCTTCCAGCCTGGGACCCAGCCTGGGCACTGCAGGCACTGAGGGTGGGCAGAGCTGAGGCCTTGTAAGGGAAGGACAAAGGAGCCCCACCTCATGTCCCCCGCCCAGGAACCAGTGTCAGAGGCCAGGGCAGAGCGCGGGACACAGGCACCTCATCCCTGCTACTGCAGACACCTCTCCCTCAGCATGTCTGCCTGCCACCTGGGTCACCCCCAAAACTTCCTCCCTACAGCCAGAGAGGGGGAGGATGAGGGGTTGAGATGGGGAGGAGGAGGAAAGGGAAAGGAGCAGGGAGGAAGTATGGAGAGATCAAGAGGGAGGATGGGTAAGGAAGGAGGGGAGAAGGGGGAGGAAAACACATTGGGGATAGAAGGAAGACAGGAAGAAAGGAGGGGGGATGAGGTCTGACCTAGCTCCCTGACTCCCACCTCTTTTGACCCCAAGCCTTCTCACCCAGCAATAGCAACCAGCCACCTGCACCCCCACCAAGGCAGCTCCCAGCTCTGCCTTGCCTGGCCTTTCAGGAGTCAATAGAGACCTCAACTCCCTTTGTGGGAGCCGTTCAGTGTCCAGCAGAAGGCCATGGCCTCCCCAGTCCAGGTGTTCACAATCTTATAATGTGTTCCCTTGAACTACCTGTGTGTTCTGTGTCATCCTGCCCTGACATGCTCATAACCACAGAACCCGGGACAGCTCCTCCCTCCCTTGTGCCTGCTGCAAACCACCTGCACAGACCCTGACACCCTGAACAGCCTAGGCCCCCTGCACAAAACCTGCCCCCCACCCACATAGACCCTGCCCCCTGCATTGACCCTGTGCACCTGCCTGCACACAACCTGTTCCCCCTGCAAAGATCCTGCCCCCTTGCAAAGACGCTGGCCACTCTGCACAGATCCTGGCCACTCTTCAAAGACGATGGCCACTCTGCACAGATCTTGGCCACTCTGCACAGACCCTGGCCTCCCTGCACACATCCTACCCCTTGCGCAGATCCTGACCACACCTGCAAAGATCTAGTCCCCCCGAACTCCGGCACAGACTGTGCCCCCACCCCACACAGATGCTATCCCCCTGCATAGATCTTGGTCCCTCTGTACAGATCCTGCTCTCCCTGGACAGGTCCTGTCCCCCCACTCCCTTGAACAGACACTGACTCCCAATGTTGTTCCTACCCACTGCACAGATCCTGGCCCCGCTGCAAAGATTCTGCACCCTGCACAGGTTCTGTCACCTCCTAAAAGTCCTCACTGCAGAGACTCTTGCCCCCATGCAGAGATCCTGGCCTCGATGCACGATCCTGGCCCCTTGCATGGATCCTGCCCCACCCCAGCCAGCTCCAGTCCTACCTCCTCCAAGAAGCCCCAGGACCCCCAGCCCTCGGAACTTTCCTAACTTGGCCATGATTCAGTAATACGGCTGCCAGGCTAGGCCTGTGAGCTCTGGTCTCAGCAGGCATCCTCTGAGAACATGCTCAACGGACCCCGCAGAGACCCGCAGGAGACAGGCGCCTGGCCCCTCACAGGCACAGTCTTAGAGGAAAGGACAGGCCTGGTCACCTGGCCAGGGGAGTGGCCAGGTGTGACACTGACTATGCTCCCTGGGGTTGGCAGGGGTCCAGCCCCAGACCCAGAAAGGCTCCCACAGAGGAGAGCTGGTGGTGCAGATGAAACGGTCCAGGTTTCTCTAGACCCCGAACAGAGTCCTGCCCTCCCCCAACCTGCCAAGGATGGGGTGGTCTCTCCAGAAAGGGGAAGGTAGAATCAGGGTCCTATATGGAATATATACGTCATGCAAGAGATAGCAAGAGACACATGTTATATGAGGGAGCAAGACAACCTCAAACACACATGTCCTAAGCAGGCAAAACAACAGGCGAGCATACTAGGGATAGCCCAAGACATGATACGGTGACACATGAATGACAGCACAGAAGTTGCGTCCACGAAATACGGTCAAAGCCTGACACAGGCTGCTCTTGGAGCTCCTGGGTATTTGGGCAGGCCTAGGTTCCAGGTGAGATTCACACCTACTCACCAGGCAGATACACACACCTCACCTTCATCCAGTGACTCAGAATCAGACGGCAGCTGGAGCACTGTCCTTCGTCCTCACCACTCCCATCCCCGGGGCAGGCACAGTCTACCCCCTCCTTCCACAGGTTCACCACCCTGGGCTGGCCAAGAACCAGAATCAAAGCAGAGGGTCTGGCAGCCCCACACATTGCAGCCATCCCGTGGGGAAGCCAGTCACCAGGCCACACATTTGTACTATTTAAAAAGTGAAAGAATTTTAACAATTCTGAGTTTCATCAGAATAAATTACTTTGTCTTTGTGATCTTAACTTTACAAAATTTATATACAATGACAAAAAAATTGAGTTGTAGCTTCTCAATATAATGTTAAACTTTGTAGTCATTAATAAAGCTTACTAATTTGACTTGAAGGTTCATTGTCAGGCCTTGGCAGGAATAAACATGCTTTTAGATCTCAGCATTTCCGTTAGCCCTTGAAAAACACATGAATCCTGGGGACAGAAACAGATGGGAGGTGTCGGCCTGCTGGGTCCCTCACAGTTCCTGGACCCCAAACACACAGAGAACCCCTCCCTCCCTGAAGAACTGCAAATGTGTGGAGAAACGGCAGGGGTGAGGAATGTGAGCCAGGTAGGTCCCAGGAGAACCTGCTGGGAATTATGGACTAGGGGGTGTCAAGGTTTTCCAGTCCTATTAAAACAGAAGAAGGTTACAAGCACCTTTGTGCAGAACAGAAGAACATTCCCTTACTCCCTGCATTAACTCCCCCACAAACACCAAGAGCCAGAAAGTGTCCCACCCATGTGTCCCCCTGGCCCGGACCCAGGGAAGCTGAGAGGATGGCCCAGGTCCCTGTCTCAAAGGACTCACCCCTATGGGAGGACAAAGGCTGCCCGGAGGAAACAGCTGCTGGGTGAGCATCCCTACGCAGTCACTGCTGCTTCCAGAAACCAAGGACCTTCCTCAAGCCAGGCTGGTGCTGCAGCCCAGGCAGGACCCCAAAGGCACCTGCAGGAGGGGAGGGAACAGCACCAGGAAGGACCTTCTGGGGAGCAGTAAAAGCTTGAGGGCTGGAAGGATGGGCCTAGCCACAGGATGGGGTGCCGGCTCAGGGTCATAGGGCTGAATGTCAAAGTTTACCCTCTTACTGAGAGGTCAGGGCGGTCTCCCAAAAGGAATGGGAACACCCAACAGCCTCCTGCCAAAAGGCCGGAGCCTCAGCTAAGACCCTGCTTCTCAGCTAGGACAGCCCGACTCCCAGACTCCCAGGTTCCCAACTCCCAGCAAGGTGCCCCAGCGGCAGGTCTGTGAATGTAGAGAGAGTACAGACGTCTCATGGAAGTAACAGATACGTAACAGACTGGGCTTTATGCACTAATCTTTGCCTAATTTAAACTGTGGAATAAGCACGTGAAATTAGTAAATTCTAGAATACACCTATGAAGAAATTATAAAATGATTAGTTAATTGATAATTAGTTACAAAATAAAGGAATGCACAAATAGATTTCCAAAATCTAGTACCTAGGACCCAAGATCCCAAGACACAGGGTTCAGCAAAACCCAGCTCTGGTCCTGGGGGACACCTGGACCCCTGAGACCCCAAACTTGCCCTAGAAGAGGTGAGGGGTCCTGAGTTCTGCCCCATTATCCCTTTCTGTGAACACCAGTGGCTGGGGCCAGGGCCCCCTGGCCATCAGAAAGGAATGGGCCTGAACCACAAAGGTCTCCTCATGGCCGAGGGCCCCACCCACAAAACTAACCCCAAAGACCCCTCAAGCCAGGAACCTGGGCCCACAACCCCTAGGATGGCGCGTCTGCCGCCGCCTGGAAAGGACGCTCACCTAAGCTGGAGAAGCCGGCTCTATGCCTCTATGCCCCGATGGCTCCTATGAGGGGCTCGTCCACGCCCAAGCTCTAACTCAGGGCCCTCCGGAGGGGACCCCGCCCCGCGCCACGACCCGACCTGTCCCACCTGGTCGAGGGAGGGGCAGGACTCCGGTTGCTGGGCAACCGCGTCAACAAGCCCCAGAGAGTCTGGGCTACGCGGAGGTTCCACCGAGCAGAGAAGGCAGCAAGTAGAAGGTGCGGGGACCAAGAGGTGGGGACTAGGCCTCGGCTGCTGGAGCTAAGGAGGGGCGGGGGCGTTAGCAGCCGCTGGGGCTGGCAGTGGCTCTGCTTCTGGCACAGCGAGCCCGGCCCTGGCTGGACAAGGTGGCAGATGTAGGCTGGGGCCAGGAAGCAAGGAGCCAGCTGGACTTTTGGACCCTCCCTCCTCTGTCACCTGCCCCACAACCATCTAGGCCCCGAAGGGGAAGAGCCAACTGTCTGGTGGGAGACCCTGACTGTCGGGGACCGCAGACATAGGGGCACAACGAAGGTCCCCCAGGCGTCACCTAGAGGTCTCCATGTGGGGGGTGGTCTCGGCAGTTTCTCAATTCCAACAGCACAGTCTGTAGGGTAGGAAAGATACTTCCTACAACTGAGTTGATCAGAAAGTTCTAGTTGACTGCAGGACTGAGCAGGATCAGCCGATGGCAGAGCTGCTGGGGATGTGCGCTCGGGAGAGGGAGAGCGGAGAGCGCCTGGGCAAAGCTCAGAGGCTGGGGGTGCGGGACTCAAAACCCACTGCGGAGAGCCCAGCGGGCGGGAGCTGGGGCGCACGGTGGGGCCCTGCCGAGGGCGGGAGGGGCCCGGTGCCAGCCCCGGCTCCGACGGGACGCCCTCTTCCCTCCGCAGCGCGGAAGGATGCCGCCGCCAGCGAAGGAGGGCGGGCGCAAGGAACCGCGGGAGCGAAGCGGCAAGAGCGCGCCAGGCGCGGCGCGGGGTGAGGGGCGCGCCAAGTGGGCGCCCGCGACAGAGCCCCCCAAGCCGGGCTGGGCCCTGACGCCGCAGGGGCTAGCGGCCATGCTCCCTGCGCAGCGTCACCGCCATCTGCTCTTCGGCGACCTGCTGGACGACGTGGGCGCGGCCGCCTCCACCTTCCCGTGCGGGTCGGTGGAGCCGGGGTACCGCATGCCCGACCCGCGCACGTGGACGCAGTCGCTGGAGCTGCCCGCTGAGCGCCAGAACCGGCTCCTCGGCGTACTCAAGGCGGCGGAGGCCCGCGGGCGAGTCCGCGCCCTGCGGCTGCGCTACACCCGCATGCGGGTGAGGCGAGGCGGGGGGCAGGAGTGAGGAGGGGGCGCCCCCGGAGCGTGGAGCCGGGCGGGTCGGGGCGCGGCGCGCGCTCAGCGACCCCGGGCCCGGCAGGCCGAGGAGATCGCGCTGCTCATCCAGCGGCAGAAGTCCGCGCGCGCCGCCATCCGGCTGGAGCTGTTCCTGCCGCCGCAGCTGAAGCCCACGCGGATCCCGGACCCCCTGGACCGCCAAGAGGTGCCGACAAGCCCCGGTAGGGGCGGGAAGGGGGGAGGGGGCCCCGCCCGCCTCCGCACACGCCGGGCCCCAGCCTCTCTCCCCGGCAGCGGAGGCGTGTGGAGACCATCCTGGAGGAGAACGTGGATGGCAGCATCTTCCCGCGGTGACGGCGACCCAAAGTGTGCGACGCGCCGCAGCCTCCCACATAAAGTTATAATTCTCCGAAGGCGCTCTGGTCTTTCTGCTGCCGCTCCCCAGGACCCCCGAGGGAAGCGGGGAGTATGGACGCTGCCTCTCCCATGCACCTTACAGACATCGGGTACAGAGAGTGGGGCCTCTCCCAAAAAAGTGGGGAGACGCAAGTGGGTGAGTGTGAAAGTAACAGGTCAGGGACACGCCTACCCCTAATCCCGACCTGCCCCCATTGGCAACCAGGCGTTCTGTGGGTTAATGGGAGGCCCCCAGTCTTGGGGAGGACGGAGAGCCTGTTTCAGCAAGTCACACCCCCAGAAGCAAAGGTAGCCTCAGCTGCAGTGGCCCTGAGTGCAGGTCATCCCGCCAGGGGGCCGGGGGAGGGCTGTGCTGTGGGCAGCGGAAGTGACCTAAGCTGGCCTTTGAAGAGGCACCAGCTGTGCCCAGAGGACCAAGAGACTGGGAAAGGGGAACCCCTGCTGCCCCCAGAAAAAAAACCCACCCCGTGGCCTTCCTTTCCATCCTGAATAGCCTCCTGTGACCCCCTTAATGCCCCACGCCAGACACCCACCCCCCCACACACACCCACATCCCCCACACACACCCACCCCCCCCACTCCCCCCACACACACACACCCCCACACACACCCCACACACACACACACCCACACCCCCACATCCCCCCACACACCCACCCCCCCACACACACCCCACATCCCCCCACACACCCACCCCACACACACACACCCCCACATCCCACCCACCCCCCACACACACACCCACATCCCCCACACACACCCACCCCCCAAACACACACACACCCACCCCCCACACACACCCACCCCCCACACACACACCCACCCCCACACACACCCACCCCCAAACACACACACACCCACCCCCCCCACACACACCCCACACACACATCCACACACACCCCCACATCCCCCCCACACACCCACCCCCCCACACACACCCCACATCCCCCCACACACCCACCCCACACACACACACCCCCACATCCCCCCCACACCCACCCACCCCCCACACACACACCCACATCCCCCACACACACCCACCCCCCAAACACACACACACCCACCCCCCCACACACACCCCACACACACACCCACCCCCCAAACACACACACCCACCCCCCACACACACACCCACCCCCCACACACACACCCACCCCCCACACACACACCCACCCCCCACACACACACCCACCCCCCAAACACACACACCCACCCCCCACACACACACCCACCCCCCACACACACACCCCCCCCCCCACACACACACCCACCCCCCCACACACACACCCACCCCACACACACACCCACCCCCCAAACACACACACCCACCCCACACACACACACCCCCCCACACACACCCCACATCCCCCCACACACCCACCCCCCACACACACACACCCACACACCCACCCCCCACACACACACACACACACGGAGTAGGAAAGGAAACCACCCCTGTCCCATTCTGACAAACAGGCCCACGACCTACAAAATCCCTGAACTCTGAAAGCCCCGAGGTTTCTGGGCAGACCTTACTTTTCTCCCCGACATGAGCTCTTTGCAGAACCTGGGGCTTCCCTAGGCCCCGCTTCCTTTTCCTGCCTCCCAGCCCCCTGCCCAGCAGGCTGCACAGAAGCGGGAACTACAGGAACTCAGACAAACCCCTCCTCCTGGCAGGGGGCTCCAGCTGACTGCCTGAAGCCAAGAGCAGAACTGGAAGGAGGGGCAGAGGTCAGAACTGGGGTCCAGAAGGGTAGCTCAATGGCAGCCAGTGTCTCTCCCCAACCGTGACCAGGGGGTGGAGCCCTGTGCACTCGCCCCTCAGCCAGCCCTTCTCCCCAGGCACCGGGCACTTTACTCTTTCTGGGCTGTTGCTGCCCTTGGCCTTGACCCAAGCCCAGACTGTATACACAGCTCAGAAGTCAGCTGACAAGGGGGGTGCAGAGAGATGGCAGGAGGGGTTTCAGGAAGGGAAGGATAGAGAGGGAGGCCAGGGAGAAGGGGCTTGAGCAGGGGCAGACAGACAAGGAAGGGAGGCAGTCTCTGTCCAGGAGTGGCAGTCACTCACACCCTGATGTACTTGTGACATGTGATGACAGCCAGCCCTGGTGTCCTCTGCCCAAACTCCCTGCAGCCTGGACCTCAGGATTCTGTGTCTTGGGGATTGACTGAGTATCTAGAATGAGTTCATCTACTGGGACAATCACGTATTATTTCATCATTTCTCTGAGACTCCGTTTCATCTTGAAGAAGGGTGTTGGTGCCCCACAGCAGCAAGTGCTCTGAAGGGGATGGGTCACTCTGCATCAGACAGGCAAGAGGGAAGAGGGGCAGAGACAGGCCCAGCAGGCCCAGCACCCAGAGAAGGCCAGCAAGACAGTGACCTCAGTGACTGCACCAGGGTCAGGCTGGCACTCAAGCCCTTTGATCCCCATGGAAAGCGGGGGCTCGATGTGCAAAGGAGGCTGGGGAATGGGGCCCAGGACGTTTCTGCATGGCCTGGAGGGATGCCTGCCTGTAGAAAGCTCTATGGGAAGGAAGGCATGTGGTCCAAAGCCCAATATATTGAGGGCTGTGAGGGGGCAGAGGGTCCTGGGTTCAAATCCCACCTCCACCATCAACTGCCCAGCTCACCTGGCTCCATCCATGGACTTCAGGGATGCTCTGTGCCGAGGGGCAGAAGCCAGGGGAGTGGAGAGCAGGCCCAAGGGGCCAGAGGAGATGGGGGAATGATTGGGGGATTGTAGAGTGACCCGAGGGGGCAGGGAGGGCACTGACCTTCACCCACTGCCAACTGCCCACACCTGCATTTTCCCACAGCGGAGACAACAGGCGGGCTCAGCGGGGTCAGGTGGTTGTGTGTGGCCTGGACCAGGTGCTGGCCCATCTTCATTGAGCTTCCCTGACCTCACCTGTGCCCACCTCCCAGGAGTGTTATTTGGGCTGAATAAGCAGCAGCCTGCCTCTTGTCCCTTTGGACTTCCTGGCCCCTGCCTTTGCTTGCCTGGCCTGATAACATGGCAGTCACAGGGTTCTGCAGTCAAGTCGGCCAGACCTCTGGGTACAGCTGCGAGAGGCAGTCTGTCCTCCAGGGCCCTCTGACCTCTGACCTCTGACCTCCCCCTTCAGGCCCTCACCCCCCTCGGCAGTGCAACACCCTCCCCTCTCAGCCCTCCCGCCTCTCACTCAGGCCTTCCCTGCCTGCTCCCCACAACTCACTCTATGCCCCTAGCATCAGATCCAGGCCCATCTATGTTGCTGGCTTCTGGTCCCATTGCCTGGCCCACAGGGGCACCCAGATACTGATACTTGTCCATTGAATGAGGAACACAAGTAAAATCTCCCTTTCCACCCCTCAGAGTTCTGTGAAGGTGTAAGGTGTGCACCTGACCTGTGCAATTGGAAGGCATTTGATGAACAGGACCCCGACATTGGGAGCTATCCGGGTCGAGTGCTTGTGCTGGGTAGGACGGGAGCTGCACACAGCTGGGCCCGGGGAGGGGCGGGGGGCACAGATGCTCTGCAGACACTTCCGGAGCAGGGTCAGGGCCACCGACACTGGGCCAAAGCATGCTGCGATGAGAAGCCTGGCCCACATCTGTACCGAGTCATAAAGGATGAGAAGAGTCAGCCAAAGGGGACAGTGTGGCTTTAAGCTGTAAGACATCTTGGGACACACGGATCAGCAGGGACTCTGCCAGGCCCGGCAGGAGACATTCGACATGACTCCGGGTGCACGAACCCGCACCCCCAGTTCTCCCCAGCCCCGCAGCACAGGAATCTCCCCCTTCCTTGGGAACCCCCCACAGCACGACAGGCTCTTAACCCAGTTTTACAGACGAAGCTCACGGAGGCGAGGGGTGGGCCGGGCTGGCGTGCCCGCCGATCGGTCCTTTCCAGCAGCCGCCTCTTTCCCAAGCAGGGCAAGCAGCATATGGGGCCCCGCTCTCCTGCCTCCACACTGGAGTGTCGTGCAAGTCCCACACGAACAGCAAGGCAGGAACGGCCCCGCCGAGCAGAGTCGGGGGCCACGGCCACACCCCCATCTACTACCGTGCAGCTCCGTCGGCCCGGGGGCCAGGGCTCCACTACGAGCACCTCAACCCTCCGGGCCACCCCCAAGCGACTGTGGGGGCCGAGCGCGGGCGGGGCGGGTGGGGTGTGGAGCCGGCCGAGCGCGGGGCGGGGCGGGGCGCGGCGGGCGGGGCGGGCCCGGCGCCTCCCGGCGCGAGGAAGTCCCGGCCCCTGGCTTTGGGGAAGTGCTGCCGAGGCGCCTGCGCACTGCGCCCCCGCGCCCCCTCCCCGACTGTCGGGCCGGACCTTGGAGCGCGCGGGCCGGCGGCGGCGCGAGTGGCTCGGGAGCGCGGCTGGTGAGTGCGCGCGCGCCGCGCCGGGGACAGCGGCCCTGCCCCTCCCGGCCCGGGCCCGGGGACCGTGCGGGGCGGGAGCTTCGGGAGCCGGCGCACGGGACTCGAACCCCAAGGACTCCCGCCGCCAGGTCCACGTGGACCCTGGGCCGCAGTGGAACTGGAGCCCGCCCCCCGCGCTTGGGGGAGGGGGCGCTGCAGCCGGGTTCCCCTTTTTGTGGAGCTCAAAGCCTGGGGAAGTGATTGCTTAAAGGTGGGGGCCGGAAGAACCCAGGTTTCCGCGTCTCCCTCCCCCCCGCCAGCCCGGTGAGGAGGGGCCGGGGCGGGACACCCTGTCCGCCCCCGCCCCCACCCCGCTGGATCTGGCAGCCACTCAGCCCTTCGAGCTGTAGGGGAGGCGCTGCGCCCCCGGCCCCAGCCGATCGGGGGCTCCTGGCGCTAGCCTCCCTCCAGAGCGCCGCAGGAGTCCCTCCTGCCGTCTGACTTGAGTCCCTGCTGCTGCAGTGCACGCCCCTTCGGCAGCCAGGGTGGGGCCCAGACCCAACCTGGCCCCTCCTGCCCCCACCCTGCCTTTGGGTCGCTGGTGAGTAGGGAGCATTGAGGTAGGGGTGGGGGCGTCAGAGGCTGGAGAAAGAGGCACCTGGAGGAGGACACAGGCTCCTCCAGGCGGGACCCTAACAGCAGCCAGAGGAGCGTGGTGGGTGGGTCACCACCACCATTTCAGAGGTGGGGAGAGCTGGCCTTCCTTGGAGGGGCCAGGCCAGGGCTCATCCACCAGCCAGATGTGGAGGGTGGCAGATGGGAAAGGCCCTGGGTGGGCGCTAAGAACTGAGAATGGAGCCCCTCTTCAACCCCTCCCAAAGGTTATGACATTTTTTTCTGGGATTGTCACATTTTCTTATTCTTTTTTTGGACTGGGCAGGCTCTGGGACGTTCTTTTTCCTTCTGTGGAGCAAAGCAGCAGCCACTCCCAAGGGAGCCTCTATCCCCAGAGACCAGACGTGCCGCCTGTCCAGCCTCTCCCATCCCAGACTTGGGGGCCAAAGCCTGGGAGGCTGGGGAAGGGGGGTCCCCAATCCCAGGATGACAAGCAGGAGGACCCTAGTTGAGACTCTGTATCCTCCAGGAGAGAAGGGGGTGTAGCCTGGGGACATGGGTTGCCCCAGCTGACCTGAGAAGGGTACAGGAAGCCCAGTCCAGGGACAGGTGACCCGGTCCAGGGCCTGAAGATGGGAAAGAAGGGGCTGGCTCCCTCCTCTGCAGCAAATGCAGCCCCTAGCACCCCGGCCTGGCACCCCTAAACACGTCCCCTCCTCCAGTTCAGAGCTGGGGTGGACATGGTAGCCCAGGAGGGACAGTCTCCGGGGTGCTAGAGTGTGGGGGAGGACCCTGGGTGGGGGCAGAGAGGAGGAAGAACTGCTGCCTGGGGAAGTCACAGACAGCCCCGTCTGGGCACAGCTACCAAACCTCAGGTTGCCACGCCCCTTCCTTTCCCTAGAAACTTGACCCCTGAAAGCAAGCCCAGCTGCGGGGCCACCTTCTGTCTCCTCATCTACTTGCTAGGAACCTGTGGGACCCACAGTCTCAGAGGAAGCTGGGCAGGCGGTGAGGGGCCGAGGTCCCGGGGGATGCTGCACCTGCCCCAGACTTGGCCTCTGCATGCCCAGGCCTCAGGGGTATTGGGGGCCCTGAGAGTGCAGAACTCCAGCACTGTCTCCTCTGAGCGCCATTCACACACCGTCCCAGAAGGCCAAGAGAGACCAACCAGACAGAAACAAGCATTCAAAGGCCACAAGCTAAGGGAGGCGTGGCGGGGGGGGATGAAGATTGAGAAAATAAAGTAGAACCAAGTTGTGAGCTTCCTGGCCAGGGAGGAGGGTGGTGGACATGCATGGAGGCCCAGAGGGCAGAGGTGGGCGCAGGTGTTCACAACTGCCTCCGGGGCACTGATTGGCCCCCCTGTGCCATTGCCCAAGGAGACCTGGGGTTCAAAGTGATATCTTAGGTGGCACGAGGGCCACCCACAGCTTTGGCGCTCCTGGTGCACCTCCCCTGCCGATGGTGCAACCAAACGCTGGGAGGTACACGCACCACACCACACCCCTCAGGGACTCTGAGGCTTTGACTGGGGAGGAGGGTGCCTCCACCCACTGCCACCCCCACTTCCCTGGCTGGCGCACTCTGTGGTACGGCCTTGGTTCCACAGCGGTTTCACAGCCTAGAGGCAGTGGGCAAGGAGGGAGGGAAGTCTTGGGAGGGAGGTAGCAGGACCAAAGAACCATGTTTGGGGGGCACGTCCCTCCTCACCAGGGCCCTGCCCCCCTCCCCACACCCTCAGAGAGTCCAGCCCTGAGTCCCACTTAAAACCTCACTGCGGCAGGTCTAACCTGCTGCCCCTGGCTGAGACCTCTGGGACCCGCAGACAGACCTGGACTCTTGGTGGGAGCCGCTCTGCCCACTCCCCACCCCAGACGCCCTAGAAGCAAGTCTGGCCACCACCCGCACGCACAGTTGGTAGCCCCAGACTCTTGGGGCCCCTTTGGGAGGGGCTGGGAGCCGGAAACCGAGAAAGAGGAACCCAGGCTTCCGGCTTCCCAGGGAGTGAGCGGATGGGGGTGTCTCGGAACCTTCTGTGGGGGCCTCATCTGGGGCCCAGCCTGGGAGGAGGGGCCAGAAGTTGCTGCAGCCCCCTCCTCAATGACCCTAGACCCCCTCCCAGCCCTGCTGTAAGCTTGGGGTTGGGGTAGAAGCCCTGGGCAGAGCCGGGTCCAGAGGCAGGAGCAGGCCCTGCTAGGGAGACACCCTCTCAGGACCCCTCCTAAGGGACAGGCAGGGGCTGGGGTTTCAGGTTCTCAGTCAGAACCTTGGCCCCTCTCCCCAGACCCCCAGGCTGTGGTGAGGGTCTGAGAGCTGGCACCACGGAGCCTGGGCAACCTCCTCCACCCACCCATGCCCACCCCGCATGAGGCTGAGAAGCAGGTATGCCACCTCCCCTTCTGCCTCTGCTCCCCTGGGGTAGATGGGGTGGGGCAAGCTGAGGGGCCACAAGGAGTTGGGAGATCCCTGAACACCCGGGAGGCCAGAAGGGTCATGTGCCTGGGAACAGGGCCACCCATGGGAGGGTGGGGGAGAGGTGGAGGGTCTGGTGGGTTCTGACCTGAAGGCTGAGGTAGCCCCATTTTTCCCCAGAACACAGGGCCAGAGGAGGCGGACCGGCCCCCTTCAATGTCCAGTCATGATGCAGCCCCTCCCGCAGCCCCCAGCCGTAACCCCTGCTGCCTATGCTGGTGCTGCTGCTGTAGCTGCTCCTGGTGAGTAGGGCCTGGGGTGCCCAGCTGGAGAGGGGCTGGAGGGCCTGGGGCCAAGCAGACCCAGGAGGGGACCCAGTGGTGGCTTCTGAGGAATCCCCGCAGGTAGGGTGCTCCTGCCACCTCGCGGCGTGTCCTGTCTGGGGTCTGTTGGGCCCTGGTGATGAGTGGCCGGTGCCTTGGGCCCAGGGGACTTATGTGTGGTTCTTGTACCTGTCTTGCCAAGGGTGTGTCGGTGTGCTGTGTACACGCATGTGCCCGTTCACACGGCATGTGCTTATCCATGCTGCTGTGAGCCAGCCCAGGCTGGGCCCTGGGGGCCTGCGATGGAGTAAGACAGGCACAGGCCGGGCGCGGTGGCTCACGCCTGTAATCCCAGCACTTTGGGAGGCTGAGGCAGGCGGATCATCTGAGGTCAGGAGTTCGAAACCAGCCTGACCAACATGGAGAAACCCCGTCTCTACTAAAAATACAAAATTAGCCGGGTGTGGTGACGCATGCCTGTAATCCCAGCTACTCAGGAGGCTGAGGCAGGAGAATGGCTTGAACCTGGGAGGTGGAGGTTGCAATGAGCCGAGATCACGCCATTGCATTCCAGCCTGGGCAATAAGAGCAAAACTCTGTCTCAAAATAAAAGAAAGAAAGAGAGAGAAAGAGAGGCACAGACCCCACAGACTGTGTGGGGTGGAGGGACGTTTGAGCAGAGACTCGAATAAGGCAACTGCTGGCCCTGGGGTGATAGCCAAGAGCTTCCCGGACAGCATGCGTCGGGGGAGAAGAGCACAGGGTGGTGGGGGGGTCTTTGGGCATCCCTGTGAGGGTGGGAGTGGGGCTCCCAGATGGTAACAGATTTCCTAGGAGGGTAGGGGAGCTGGTGCATGTTTTCATGCCTTCCGACCCTGGCCGATGAGAGGACAGCGCTTCTGGACCCAACGTGGGGTCAGCTGACCCATGGGCAAGCTGGGGGTGGCCAGGGGGCAGTCGGGAAAGGGGCTGGGAGGAGCCCAGGGGCCTAGTTCCGTCAGGACGTCTGGGTGCACGATGTCTGCCAGCCGTGCCCTGGAGAAAGATCAGCCGGCTATGGATTTGGGTCCAGCATTGACAGGGTACTAGGAGCCAAGGCAAAGAAGCAGTTTCCCTTGAGAGAACCAGGGATCAGGCTCCAGGACCTAACCAGTGTGGACACATGGGTTTGGGGCTTTCAGTGGTGTCAGCTGACGAGACACACTGCTGACATGCCAGACCTGCAGCGTGTGGCCCCATCAGTGGGACAGGGACAGGCCAAGAACAGGCCGAGGAGCAGGGTGGCCATGTTCCTAGGCACACTCTCATGGGTGTCCCTGTTCCCAGGCACATGACCCTTCTGGCATCCCAGGTGTTCAGGCATCTCCCAGCTCCTTGTGGCCCCTCAGCTTGCCCCAACCCATCTCCCCTAGGGGAGCAGAGGCAGAAGGGGAGGTGGCATACCTGCTTCTCAGCCTCATGTGGGGTGGGCATGGGTGGGTGGAGGAGGTTGCCCAGTGGGCCAGGGATGGGGAGGAGCACCAGGAGCCGAAGGGTCCCTCCTGGAGGGCCAGAGACTCACGGGCACTGGGTCAAGGTGCTGGGATGGAAGAGGGCTGAGTCCGTGGGCACTGTGGCAGGGACAGTAACCTGGACTGCAGATTCCGTGGAGAATTCGGGAACGACTGACAGGGAGCATGGACACCCTTTCCCAGGAGATTGTGGGAGGAGCTAGCTGCAGGGGCTGCCCTCCTACAGTGGGTACACATGTGTGTCAGATGCCTGCCCATGTGCTGAGGGCCTGTGTGGCCATGGAGGCGTGTATGCCCACGGCAGTGCCGCTTCCTCTCTGCCACTAGGAACCAAGAGCGGCGGCGCGCGTGGCAGGCCTCCCGGGAGAGCAAGCTGCAGCCCCTCCCCAGCTGTGAAGTATGGTGAGTCCAGCCGGCTGGTGTGTGCGTGTTGGGGGGCCCCAGGCTGGGAGACTTGAGCCTGACGTAGCCTGGCCCCAATGCCCGCAGTGCCACGCCAAGTCCTGAGGAGGTGCAGAGCTGGGCCCAGTCTTTTGACAAGCTGATGCACAGCCCGGCGGGACGCAGCGTGTTCCGGGCGTTCCTGCGGACAGAGTACAGCGAGGAGAACATGCTCTTCTGGCTGGCCTGTGAGGAGCTGAAGGCCGAGGCCAACCAGCACGTGGTGGACGAGAAGGCGAGGCTCATCTACGAGGACTACGTGTCCATCCTGTCCCCCAAGGAGGTGCGCCGGACACCACAAGGGGCAGGGGGCCGCCTGCTCCGGGCACTAGGTGGGGAAGGCACCTCCCAAGCCCCCTGACCTCAGTGCCTTGTCCTACAGGTGAGCCTGGACTCCCGTGTGCGGGAGGGCATCAACAAGAAGATGCAGGAGCCGTCCGCACACACGTTTGACGACGCACAGCTGCAGATCTACACACTCATGCACCGGGACTCCTACCCACGCTTTCTCAGCTCTCCCACCTACCGTGCCCTGCTGCTGCAGGGGCCGTCACAGTCCTCCTCCGAGGCCTAGGCCGCCCCCAGCAGCACAGACCCCACCGCCTCCTATGGCCGACTCTGGGTTGCCTTCAGGTGTTGGCTGTCGGGGCACACACCTGCGGGCCCAGCCTGGCCGGCTGGGGTCCCCAGCCGTGGAGACGGTCCTAGACCCAGTGGGGAGTGCTGTGCCTCCTGGCTCTGCCCACCCGTGGCCAAGCAGGAACTCCAGGTGCAGGGTGGGCCAGAAGCCTTCTCATCGGCCCACAGCTGGCTGGCCCAGGGCTCCTGGTGGGGGCTCTTGCATGGTGAGAGTAGGGGCCCCCCCAGGAGCCATGCTGGACCCAGGAGCCTCGTTGGGGCCTCTTCCCCAGGCAGCTGACGGGCCCCGGACAAGCCTTGGTGGGGAGCAGAACCTCTGCATCATGTAGTTCTATGACATAAGGAGACCTCCTACTTGAGCTGTCTGTACCCCAGAATCAAACCCAGAACCTCAGAACCAGATGTAGGACCTCAGAATCCTGCACTCAAGGTGGCAGGACCCAATTTCTGTTTTATATGTTCATGAACTTTAAACCTGGAAACATATCCTTACTAGGTGTTTTATCAAAAAAAAAGTTTTCATATTTATCTCTATCCCTAACCCCCCAAAAATAGGATGTCTTATTATTGAAGATATTTTTAAAGCACAAGTCTCTACTCATTTTTGTCCAAGTGTGGGGAGAGACTGGAGAATGAGTGGCCCCAGACTCAGGGCTGGGGAGCAGTGCCCTTGTGCCAGGGCAGGGGCTCCAGTGCCCCTTGGGAGGGGAGACATAGCCTGTGTGTTCACCTTCTTCCCACACCCTGGGCTCCACCAGGGCCCGCCTCAGAACAGTGGCCCCAGTGGGTGGCTGTGCTGAACCCTGCCCGGGGCATGAGCTCCTTCGCTGAAAGTGGGGCCAGAACAGTGCAACCCACAGCACCTCAGAAGTCAGGAGGCAACAGGAAGTGCCGCTCGGGCCCAGCTGGATGGGGTCCCCAGAGGCAGGCTGGCTGGGGCAGGAGGGGCTGCTTGGTGCCAGGCACAGTGCCATCTTTGCCATCTCACAGGCCCTGTGAGTTGAGTGCTCACCACCCCATCCCCTACGTTTCTGGGAAGTTAAGTGAGTTGAAGCTGAAATTGGCTCAGGGCCCTGAGACCACAACTCCCACAATAACAGAGACGGCAGCATGGGGACAAGCTGTCCTGAAGTGCCAGGACCCGGGTCCCAAGCTGCCCATGCCCGAGGCACGGCAGGACATGTGCCCTGCACAGGACGACAGGCTGTCAGCACGCACGCAAGACCCTCTCCCCACCTGCCGCACAGGCAGCCACCCCAGGTGATCTCTGAAGGTCAGCCAAGCTCCTCTCCTGGGGCTGAGCCAGCAGGGCCCACCAAGCACTGCCTGACCTCAGGGAGGGGCCGTGTCCACAGCAGCGCGAACAGGTCAAACATGGGGACGGGCCACCAGGAGTAACAGCTGAGGAGAACGAGATGGCAAAAAGAAACATTTAATAACGAGGGGGAAAGGGCAGAAAGGTGCAATCCAGGCAGGCAGGTTGAGGGCAGGACATGCCGCCTTCTAGGGTCTCCAGAGAAGCTGTATCAACGGAGGACGTGGGCGGGGGAGGCCAGCACTGGCCACGGCCCAAGGCTGCAGCACATCTACACGAGGGCTCAGCAGAACTGCGAAAAAGGGGGTGAGGCCTCCAGCCTTGTGGCCACATGAGACTCCCCAGAGAGAAGGCCGCACAGGCTCACCCAAGGCTGCAGTCTCCGCCCACCATGCCCAAGACTCCAGGAGGCTGGCTGGGCAGGGCCATCCCCAGTTCACACCACAGACCCCACAGAGGCTGACACACCCCACCTCCAGAGAATGGAGCTGGAAGGGGCAGCCTGAGCCCGCTCACCCACCTTCCAGCGGTTTCCACACTCGTTGCAGACAACAAAGGTGGTCATGGGTTCATCAGAGCTGCGGGTCTGCACCTGTAAGGAGGGCTGGGTGAGCCTCCATGCTCTGCTGCAGGGAGTGTCCCCTCAAATGGGCAGAGCTGGCCTTGCAGCCGCTGAGCTCCCATAGGTGACCTGATCTGAGGCCGCCTTGTGACTCCAACCTTCCAGAGCTGAGCCTCCCGGGAGGGAGACAGTGTCTATTGGGGCAGAGGCCCTTGCGTGGGCTTGAAGCAGCTCACATTGGCTGGGGACCAGCAGGGCCCAGACTTGGCTAGGCAGTAGGGTCCCAATGGTGGGGGGAACTAGCGGGGGTCCCCAGTGCCCGTGGCTGCCTTCTGGAAGGCCCAAGGGTGAGCCTCAGGCCACAGGCAGAGCCTGTTCCGACCAGAGGCTGGGAGCAGGAGAGAGGCAGGCTCTGCACAGACCCAGGCCCCATGCAGCCTTTGAGGGGAAGGAAGGGCTGTCCTTGCAGCCCCTCACGAGTCCCATCTGCCAGGCGCAACGGCCGCCTCAACACACTCCCCCCCTTTTTTTTTTTTGAGACAGAGTCTTGCTCTGTTGCCCAGGCTGGAGTGCAGTGGCGTGATCTTGGCTCACTGTGCAACCTCCACCTACCGGGTTCAAATGACTCTCCTGCCTCAGCCTCCTGAGTAGCTGGGATTACAGGCGTGTGCCATCACCCCCGGCTAATTTTTGTATTTTTAGTAGAGACGGGGTTTCACCATGTTGGTCAGGCTGGTTTCGAACTCCTGACCTCATGATCCACCTGCCTCGGCCTCCAAAAGTGCTGGGATTACAGACATGAGCCACCGTGCCCAGCCGCACTCCCCTCTTAACAGGGTCCCTGCCATCTCATGGGATCCACAGTCTCCCCGGCACACTCAGTGTCCACCTCCATGGCAGGGACTGAGAGTCCTGCGGTCACTGCCAGGCAGCAGGCGCCACGGCCCTCCCACCAGCATCAACCTCGAGGGCCCTCCGTGCAGCTGGGCTGGGCGGGCCGGGCCCTCCGACTTGAGCACCTGGAACAAGTGGACCCCACCACCCAAGACGCTGCCTCCTGGGGCCCAGGGTCCTGGGTAGAGGGGAGTGGTCCCTGAAGGTGGCCATCATGCCTTAGCCTAGTCAGGGACAGAGAGGCTCGGAAAACTCACAGCAGAGGCGGGAACAGGTATGGGCTCCTAGGAGGGGCACGGGATGGCCTGAAGACACTGGGCCCGGGGGAGGTGCCCAGCGGCCGCTCACCTGCGTGTAGGTGCAGTTCTTCTTTCTGCACTTGCCGCAGGTGAACAGGTCTGTCTGCGTGCCGCCAGTACGGGCCATCTGGTGCTCTCGGATGGCCTCCTTGGTCATGGCCTTACGGATCTCCTTCAGCTCATCACTGGCCATCTCCTGGAGCACGGGGCCAGTGGCTTAGCCCACCACTCCGAGGGGAGCAGCCCTCCAGCCCCTCCAACAGGGGCTCACCTCTGAGGTCATCACGGCAATCTGCTGGGGGGTTATGGCCCCACACAGCACGTTCCGCCGCAGGTCAGGGTTCCTGGCATCCTTCAGGTTGGAGATACGACTCCGCACACGGTTCTTGTACTTCATGTCTGTGTTTCCAACGTCCCGGAAGATGCGTGCAAGTGTTTAAGGACCCACCCGAGGACAACGTCGCTGCCCTCCACCTACCACCTGCCCCGCTGGGGGCCATGCTGGGGTGCTGGCTGGAAAGGTTCTGCCCAGCCACACTTGGTGGACAGGTGAAGGGCTGCAGGGCCGAGCCTGCCACAGGCCCATTCCTGACTGAGACCCAGCTTCAGGCTACAGCCCCAGGGAACCTAGGCCCCACCAGCAGGCAGAATCAGCCTCTCAGCTGGTCTGGGGGCCTCCTGGAGCGAGACAACCTGACTACCCAGGCAGGTGACCCCCCCCCCAGGCAGCTGACCCCCCAGGCAGCTGACCCCCCTGGCAGGTGACCCCCCAGGCAGGTGACCCCCCAGGCAGGTGACCCCCCAGGCAGGTGACCCCCCAGGCAGGTGACCCCCCCCCAGGCAGGTGACCCCCCCAGGCAGGTGACCCCCCCAGGCAGGTGACCCCCCCCAGGCAGGTGACCCCCCAGGCAGGTGACCCCCCCCAGGCAGGTGACCCCCAGGCAGGTGACCCCCCCAGGCAGGTGACCCCCTCCCCAGGCAGCTGACCCCCCAGGCAGGTGACCCCCCAGGCAGCTGACCCCCCAGGCAGGTGACCCCCCAGGCAGGTGACCCCCCCCAGGCAGGTGACCCCCCCAGGCAGGTGACCCCTGGACAGCTGGGCAGTGGCATCCAGCAGCCACCAGAGGCCACCAGGCCAGGCAGCCTCCTGACTCCACCAGAAACCCAGACCCATAGCCCTGCCCAAAGGATATATTCCTCGATCTGAGCCGACAGGCGCTGGCAGTCCGCACCGATGGCCACGTGGTCGTCTGCAAGAGGGAGCCCTGACTAGCTGCCCCCACTGGTTTCTCCACCTGCCACCCCTTCTGCCTGCAAATCACCCTGGCAGCTTAGCGGGGACATCCGTGTCCCTGGAAGAGGCCCACGATCCAGGCACAGGCCCCACGCCGCTGCCAGGGCCGCAGCAATGGGCTGGGGGAGGAGAGTCGCCCCTCTAGAAGCAGGCCTCCTCGGGCAGGCAGGGGCCTGGGCCGCCCTGAGAATCCCAGCGGGTGTCAGGAGCCAGGGCCGGCCGCACTCACGGGCCGTCTGCAGGGCAGCAGTCAGCATCTCGCGGCACTTGTTGCGTACGGCATCACAGGTGACAGGCACCGGAGGAAATGTGGTGATCCTTGGAGTCGACGGTGCCTTGGGCAGCTCCGGCCTCTTGCGGCTGCAGAGAGCCAGGGCCAGCTAGACTCAGACTCGAGGCTGCACCCCAGCAAGACACTGATCCCAGAAGCAGCAGGTGCCACAGCATAATCCCCCCCAAACCCTGCTTGCTCCACTCTGCCAGGGTCCAACAGTGGCCAGTGGCCCTGCCTATCTTGAGCCCAGATGTCCATGGAGTGTGCCCAGCAGCCAGGAGGGAATGGGCCGTGAGGTCCCCAGTGGGTCAGGATGTTCCCCAGGTGGGAACAGGATCCCAGACCCAGCAGTCCGCATCTGGGCAGCATCTCCAGTGGATCCGAATGAACCTGGCAGTTCCTGCCACCTCTGGGGTGCCCACCTGCGGGGCCGCAACACAAATACTCTGGTGAGGGCAGCTGCAGCTGCTGCCTGGTCAGGGAGAGGGAGAGACCCACAGCTGCCTGGTGGGGAGAGGGAGAGACCCACAGCTGTCTGGTAGGGAGACAAGGCAGAGGTCAGGGAGAGGGAGAGACCCACAGCTGTCTGGTGGGGAGACAAGGCAGAGGTCAGGGAGAGGGAGAGACCCACAGCTGTCTGGTGGGGAGACAAGGCAGAGGTCAGGGAGAGGGAGAGACCCACAGCTGTCTGGTGGGGAGACAAGGCAGAGGTCAGGGAGAGGGAGAGACCCACAGCTGTCTGGTAGGGAGACAAGGCAGAGGTCAGGGAGAGGGAGAGACCCACAGCTGCCTGGTGGGGAGAGGGAGAGAGACCCACAGCTGCCTGGGGGGGAGACAAGGCAGGGCCACCCAAGGCCAGGTTCTGCTGTCACAGATGACCCCGCTAGGCACGTACAGAATGGGACAAGGATGCCCCTCAGGGCTGGACCCCAACATGAGGCTGCCCAACGACCAGGCTGCATCCACCTAGCCCTCCCCACATCCCCCCTGTGGAAGTTGGCAGAAGCAGGCGGCTTCCTGGAGGAAAATCAACTTGCAAAAGTGTCCCTGAGTTCCTGGTGGCCCCATCACCACAACCCAGTATGGTCAAGGGCAAAGCCACCTCTCGGCCGTAGGCTGCCACCACAAGCACCCCCAGCTCCCAGCTGCAGGCCACAGAGCCCTCATCGCCCCTGGCAGCAGTGACCACACATGCACATGCAGGGCAGGAGAGGGGAGCTGGGCACCCGCCTTTGGTTCTGGGCAGAATTTTGCAGGAAGGAGGGGCCCTCATTGAGTGAGGCTGAGGTTCGGGAAGCCAGAGTGGGCCAGCAAGAACCAGACCCAGCAGGGGGTCTTGGGGGAAGAGGCCAGGGGGCTCCCACAGGCCCACTCAGGGTATATGGCAGCTCTTGGCAGAGGAAGAGGCCAAGATGGCTGGCTGACAGCCAGGTGGACACAGACCCGCGTCTCAAGTGGTCAGTGCAGGCAGGACACACCACGAGGCCAGTGTCCAGCATGAGGTTGACCGACTCTGTGTGCGGCCTCAAAGCAGTGCCTAGGCACACGGAGATTAGCACCCTTTCCCTGGCAAGGAAACAGGCTGGGAAGCAGGAGTGTGTGCACCTGCCTTCCAGGTGTACTACCTGGGATCCGGGGCCTCTGAGGCATCCCTCGAGGACGTGGGCAGAGGCGTGCCCCTCCCCCGCTCCCTGGCTTTGGCATCTGAAGCATCTGCAGTTGAGGAAAGATCAGGGATGGGCTGATCAGGAGAAGGCAGAGGAGGGACGGGCGCAGACCACCACCAAGGTGCAGCCTCAGCCCAACCACCAACCCTCCCAGCCCCAGCCCCCAGCTCCCCACCCAGCCAGAGGAGCCAGGGGCCACGAAGGCGCCCAGCCTCAGTGAACAGGCCCTCACCCTCCCCAGCAACCTGTCCGTCTCTGCAGTCCCAAGGCTACCTCCCCAGAACACTTTCCTATACAAGCACCCACTCACAAAGGCCACCTCTGGGGCCTACCCTCCTGCCTGTCCTGGCGGGAGAGACCAAGTATGTCCCCAGCAAAGCTCTTCCTGAAAGCCCAGAGCCAGGCCCAAGGGCTGGGGATGAGGACATGCTTGTGCTATGTACGGCCTGAGGGTCACACAGGGCTAGAGAGACTGTTTCACAAGGGTGTGGACAGAGCTAGGAGGGCTGCCTCCATCCCGGATAGCAGCATCTTTGCAACCCCAGTCACCCCATTGTCTCCAGGAAGAGGCAGCCTTCAGTCCAGCCCAGCCCTTCCCTTCCCTCCCTGCCAGGGGCTGCCCCTCCATTCCCTGTGAGTAGCTGAGGCGGCCCCAACTTCTCCCTCTCCCTTCCCCTCTCCTGACACTTCCCAGCCTCCTGGCCGTGACCTTCCCCTCTGTGTGACCTCCCAGCTCACCCCAGACTCTCAGTGCTGTCAACTCAAGTCCTGGCCTCAACGCTCCTCTCTCCTTGTTCTACCTGGAACCCTGCCCCCAGCACACACCCTTGCCTCCTAGGCCACCCCTCCCAGCCAATGCTGACAGGCATCCACTGATCCACTGCCAGCCCCAAGCTGGGTGCTTCATGGTCTGGGGTTGCCACTGCCCCACTCCCAGGTGACCTGGCTCAGGGTGGGCACTGCCAAGACCCTACACTGTGCTGACCAGCCAGAGGCAGCACTTCTCGGGGCCCTGGTCCCAGCACTCGGTGGGCACTGCCCAAGCCGCACCCAGGAGCTTCTTCCAGGACTTGATGAGGGACTTGGCCAGTGCAATGACCTCCTCGTCGGAGCTCTGCTTCCGAAGGGCGTTGACAGACATCCCGACTCGGGTGGACTACAAGGCAAGTGGTCTGAGTCGGGTGGAGGCAGGGGCCCACCCTAGGGGTCAGATCCTCCTGGCAGACCCTTGGTGGCTCCCACAGGACAGGAGCCCAGGACCTGCCAGGGAGGTAGATGCCTCTCCCAATATCCTCAGACTCCCTTCCCTGTCCCACTGAGCCCAGAGAAAGGCAGAGACCCTCTCCTCAGGAACAGGCATTTGTGCCAACTAAGGCCCGGTGGGGAGGGTGGGGAAGCCCTGCCAGGTGCCCTCAGAACTGCCATCTCCTGGGCTGTCCCCAGGAGCTGTCCCGGACCTGGGGCAGGCAGGGACCTACCTGGAGCAGGTGCAGCGTGATAGGCATGGCCTTCAGCTCCCGCAGCAGATCCATGGCCCCCTCCTGGAAGGAGAAGGAGGACCTTCATAAAGGACTTTAGATCTCAACGGACAATATCACCTCCTTCTGCCTACTGGAGGGGAACACAAGGCAGTGACAATTTGGAGATTCAACCTGGGGTCAAAAAGAAACCAAAATTCCTCTACCTGGAGACACCCAGGGCTGTTCCTGCACCACAGCAGGGAGCCCTTACTGCTCAGTCAAGACGGGGAGGGGCTGTGCAGCCTCAAGCATTCCAGGTTGTAACCCACATCCGTGGCAATGACCTCACTGACTTCACTGTAACCACCTCAGGTCACTGACCCAAACCAGAACAGAAATGCCAGCTCCCCTGGCAAATCAGGAGGCTTCAGAGCCATGGACCCTCCCCAGCAGCCAGGGCCACACCCAGGTGAAGGTGCAGCGCCAGGTTCATTCACTCCCCCGTGCGTTCATGCCCTGATGTGCAGGGCAGCCTCTCCCCAAAGCACACACCCCCCACCAGCTGTGAAGGAGGCCAAACTTTCAGGCACAGCCACAGCCAACACCTACAAGACCCACAGCCCCCTCATCTATCCTCCAGGCCTCTGAGTTGCCCCCGAGCAGGCGAGCACCCCTCGCCTGGACAGTTGCAACGCACCCGTTCTCTCTGCCTTGTCTCCCCACCCAAGATCTGCGTTTCCTCCAGGTCCTTACACACTGAGGCCAGGCACAAACCGGCCACTTTTCTACACCAGGTACAGCTCCTCAGTGCTCCCCAAGGGCCCTGAGCCACCACTGAGGCCCTCTGCACCTGCAGCTCCACTGCCTGGGGCAGCCTCCCAGGACATCTTCTTCCCTCCCTACCGGGCTTTATTTAAACAACACCTTCTCAGCAAGACCTCTCCTATCTAAAACTGCAACTGCGCCCTGCAACACCCCCACCTCCTCTGTAACACATGCATGTGTTTCCACGTGTGTATCATTCCCTCTGCCCTAAGGTGACCTGATCAGATGTCCCACGACCCAGACCCCGCACAACCCCAGCAATCTGGGTGGCATGTCTGCCCAGGCCGCAGCCCCTCCTAAACCCTCTCAGGCCGGCCCTGCCCCTTGGGCTGTACAGAGTCCAGCCTTGAGGCGACAGCCAGAGCCAAGGGCACTGGTTCCCTGAAAGCCCTGCACCAGCTTACGTGGCTCTCAGTGGGCTCAGGACCAGAGGTATAAAATCCCCCAAACCTGGCCCCCAAGTCCCCGAGGGGACCTCAGGCACTGGGACCCCCAGGAGCCCCACTGCACACTGCCCTCCTCCCCTCCTCATTCTCCCCTGGGGCTTCTACTCAAGCTGTTCTTCCACCAGAAACCCCCCATCAGTTCTGCTAGCCCCACCCAGCCCTCCCCTGGCTCCATGACCCACCTTTGCTTTTCCCACCTACAGCTTTTATCGTTTGTGTTTTGTCTCCTTTAAGAAGGGATACAACTCCTTCTCGGGTCATCTCTGGAAACAGCTATGGATGGTTCACAGACCCCTACTTTTTGCTGACCAGTTTTCCAGGGGTGTGTGTGAACGCAATGATGCGGTGCTGCACCCAGCAGGAATGAGTGGGAGCCCACCACTTCCCAGTGCAGACCCCAGTCCAGAGCCCTGGTCACAGGAACCCAGACTCAACCCTGCTCAGCCCAAAAAGCATCCCCCAAACCCCTATTGCAGTCACACAGCCCTGGGGTGGCTGCACAAATCACCCAAAGCCTATGACTCAGCCACCTTCGCCGCCCTGGGCTGGCCTGGCAGACACACAGCTGGCCCTGCCCCAGGAGTTCACCGTCTGGATGGGAAAGCGCAGGTCACGTTTATGGAGCCTGCCAGGAGTTCCACATGACCTGCGGCCAGACCCCTCCCCGTCCCCCAGGAGGCAGGCAGCATCAGCTAAAGATGCTTCTGTTGGAGGGTGCAGAGGTTGCCAAGGTCATGACTCCGGAACTGGACCCCCACTGGCCTGGCCCCTTCAAAGGCCTTACACACAGCCTCCTCCAAAGTCTTGCTGTGGCCGCAAGACAACAGAGGCCCAGGCCGCAGTGAACAGAGCTGGCCAGAGGCTCCAGCGCCCAGACGCTCCCAGAGGAGGCTTGCCCCATCTCCCGGGTCTTATATAAGCACACCGGCTCTTTTCGGAGGGTGTCCACATAACTACCCACAACCCAAGTTACTGCGGGCTAAGTCCTGGCTAAAGAAGGGAGAGAATTTATTAGAGAAACCTGGTTCTTGTGGGGTGGGGACAGACAGGGAAGAAAATGGGCCCCACAGGCAAGACAGGTATCTGGCTGGCCGTGAAGGAGGATGACAAGGGCCAGGAAAAGGCAGGGGAGGCACGGCAGCTCCAGAAGAAAAAGGGATCCAACCTCAGACTCCAAACTGTTGCTGGCGACAAATGCTATGGGAGACGGAGCGTGACAAATGCTATAAGAGACGGAGCGTGGGAGAGGGCTGAGTTGGGGGCGGGGCTCGGCCCGTGAGGATGCCCAGGCCGGGATGGAGGAAGGCAAGCGGCTGGGGCGGCCGCAAAGGAGGCCCGAACACCCCGGGGGCTCCCAAAGGCGGGACGGGGCCATGGAAGGAGTCGACGGGCCAGGCTGGGGGTCTGGAGTTAAGGGACAGGGAAGGGTGCGGAGCCTGTGACTGCGGGCGAGGGGGCTTCTGAGTCCAGAGCGGGTGGCTCTCCCGGGACAAGGTCCAGGCCCGATCGCGGCCTCTGCCGGGGTTGCGGGGGTGAACGGCAGGGCTGGCTCGGGGCAGGGGTCTCGGCCACGGGTGGGGGTCTCCCCTGCGTCCCGGAAGTCTCTGCCGGGGAGGGGTCTCGTCCTGCCCCTCAGGTCGTCTTCCGGCCCTAACGGGGTCGGCGGGCTCGACGGGGTCTCGGCGGGGCGGGGTTCCCGGGGTCCTGGCGGCCCGCGCCCCTCACCGCGCTCTTCTTGGTCACCATCTTGTCCAGCCTCCGGGCGATCCGCGTAATCTCCTCCTCCTTGCCCATCATCGCCTCAGGAGCAGCGACCCCCGCACCCGTCGCGCCCGCCTCCGCAGCCGGGCTGGGACCCCGGCCCCGGTCGTCGCCACCTCCCGCACCCGCCGCAGCCGACGCAGCCCCGCCGCGGACGGCGGACCCTCGGTTCAAACCCTCAGCCCCGCGGCCGCGCGCGGCATCCTAGGACGCGTAGTCCACGCGCCCGCCTGCCCCGCCCGCCGCGCCCGCGCCCGCCGCGCTCTGGACTACAACTCCCAGGCGCCACGCGGCGCGCACAGCCTCCTGGGAAGTGTAGTCTTGACCCGCCGCCGCCAGAGACTCGTGGTCCCACTATAACCCGCTCGGGAGGCGCCCCGGGCACGCCCCTCCCGGAGCCCAGACAGCCTGGAGCGACCCGGGCCCAGGAGCAGAAGAAACTCCTGCTTCGCGCCTTGCTGTCCCCCAGCGTCCTTCAGTGGATGGCTCAGGACCCAGCGCCCTCAGCCCTGCCCCGCTGGGCCCTGCGCGCTCCCCCCTTGGCCTGGAGGGCCGTCCCCAGCCTCCCAGAGCCGAGTTTGGGTCATTCGGACATCTGAGTGGAGATTCTCTCTTCAAGAGGCCCGCGCACACTGGGAGGCCTCTTGTGGGGCCCTGCAGGTGTAAGCGCGGGGTAGCTGGACGTGGCGTCTGGAAGGGGCCACTGCTGGGATTCGCGAGTTGCGGGGGGCCTCTGCCTCCCAAGTCAGCACCAGGGAGCAGATTCTGGGCTCTGCACGTTGACCGCTCTGTATCTCAGTCTCCCCACTTGTGAAGCTGGATTGACGACAGTGGCGGCCTCACAGGGCTCCCGTCAAGATGATGTAAGCTGGTTGACATCACATGCCTGAGAACAGAGCAGCGGATGGAGCATGACCATTAGTATTCATTGCCCTTGTTGTTGGAGGTCCCTAGGTAAGGCCAGACTGCAGGCAGCCAGAGAGATGGCCCAGGCCTAGGGAGGGTTGAGGACGAGGACAGGTGCGAGGCCAGCATCCCCACCAATGCCTGCCAACTCCTCAGTAATGCAGATGCTGGGTGGTTTGCTGGAGAGAGCACAATCCTGGGGGAGGGTACAATCCTGGGGGAGGGTGTGGACCAAGGAGCCGCTGTCTTTAGTGTTGTGGATCCTATATTCATTCAAGTTCAGGCCAAGGAACTATGAGGCCAGGTGGCCGGTGGAATGGGCTGAGCGTTCCTTGGACTGTCTGTGGCACTAATCAGATATAACTGAGCTTCCCAGCAGCCAAAATGAAAAAGAAAATATGGTCAGTTAAGAGACTCATCTTGGCTGGGCACAGTGGCTCATGCCTGTAATCCCAGCGCTTTGGGAGGCCGAGGCAGGTGGATCACCTGAGGTCAGGAGTTCAAGACCAGCCTGGCCTACATGGTGAAACCCCTTCTCTACCAAGATTACAAAAATTAGCCAGGTGTGGTGCCAGGCACCTATAATCTCAGCTACTTAGGAGGCTGAGGCAGGAGAATTGCTGGAACCCGGAAGGCGGAGGTTGCAGTGAGCCAAGATAGCACCATTGTACTCCAGCCCTGGCCGACAACAGCGAGACTCTGTCTCAAAAGAAAAAGAGAGCGAGAGAGACTCATCTTGGCCAGGTACAGTGGCTCACCCCTGTAATCCCAGCACTTTGGGAGGCTGAAGTGGGCGGATTATCTGAGGTCAGGAGTTCCAGAAGAGCCTGGCCAACATGGCGAAACCCTGTCTCTGCTAAAAAGTACAAAAATTAGCCGGGTGTGGTAGCACATGCCTGTAATCCCAGCTACTTGTGAGGCTGAGGCAGGAGAATCGCTTGAACCCAGGAGGTGGAGGTTGCAGTGAGCCCAGATTGTGCCACTGCACTCCAGCCTGGGTGACAGAGTGAGACTCTGTCGCAAAAAAAACTCAGGCCGGGCACGGTGGCTCATGCCTGTAATCCTAGCACTTTGGGAGGTGGACTGCCTGAGCTCAGGAGTTTGAGACCAGCCTGGGCAACATGGTGAAACCCCGTCTCTACTAAAATACCAAAAAAAAAAAAAAAAAATTAGCCAGGCATGGCGGCATGTGCCTGTAGTCCCAACTACTCAGGAGGCTGAAGCAGGAGAATTGCTTGAATCTGGGAAGCAAAGGTTGCAGTGAGCCAAGATCATGCCACTGCACTCCAGCCTGGCAACAGAGTCAGACTCCATCGAAAAAAAAAAAACCTCAATCATAAGGAAAAAGCATAGAATTCCTTGTGAGGAGCAAAGCCTTTCTGAGATAGAGGCCCTGTGATATTATATGATTATATTATTATTAATAGAGGAACACAGTTTCCATACTGACTGATTCTGTCCTCACTGAGCTGGGGCCATAGCTTCCAGCCTAGAACATCCAAGCAAGTCCTCGTGGCAAGAATTCCATGGTTTGGGCATATAGGAAGACTTGAAGGGTCCAGCCTCATCAGAGGCACACGAGAGGAGGCTGGAGCCACCCACCCTTCAGCCACCCTCTCAATGGCGGGCAACCAGACGAAGGAGCTGGCCAGGGTCCTGTAGAAGCCGCACTGGAACTGCCCTTGTGCAGGAACCAGCAGCAACCCCAGAAATCGTGGCTTCGGAGGTCCGGGTGGCCAGGGTTTCAAAGCTGTTCCCACCATCCATGAAGACACTGGACACATCCATGGAGCCTGCCTGGCCAGACACACAGGCTTCTCCAACAGCCGAGGGTGAGTTGATTTGAAGACCAATGGAAGGAAGCCAGCCCTCAAGCTGGGGGTGGGGGAGACCTCCAAGTATCAGGACTGCAGATCCTGAGATGCTGGCAAGGGCTGGAGCACAGAGAGGCCCCTCCTGGGCAGGAGGTGCAGCCCAGACAGCACGGAGGAGAACTGACCCCAGATAGCTGCAAGTTCCTAAGAGTGGAGGCAAAAAGGAGAGAGGGGCAAGCCCAGTCCTGGTTGAAGTGTTGGTGGGGTGCAAGGTGTCTCAACAATCCAGGGAGTCAGAGACCAAACCCCTGACAGAAAATAAACTGGTGGGAAGAAACCATCATCTCCTTTTTTTTTTTTTGAGACAGAGTTTCGCTCTTGTTGCCCAGGCTGGAGTGCAGTGGCACGATCTCGGCTCACTGCAACCTCCGCATCCCAAGTTCAAGCAATTCTCTTGTCTCACCTCCCGAGTAGCTGGGATTACATGCATGCGCCACCACAGCCGGCTAATATGTTTGTATTTTTAGTAGAGACGAGGTTACATAATATTGGTGAGGCTAGTCTCAAACTCCTGACCTCAGGTGATCCGCCCACCTCGGCCTCCTAAAGTGCTGGGATTATAGGCGTGAGCCACCGCGTCCGGCCCATCATCTCCTTTATACCAACCTGTAGCAGAAAGGTGTTGTTCGTTCAGTTATGAACAAGGCCTAGAACCAAATCTGGTCATCTGGGCCCGTGCTGAGCTGGCACGGATGGGAACTGTGTCGTGCCCACACGCTGGCTGCTGCTGGAACTGCAGAGGCTACCCAGTGGGTCACATCTTGTTCTTGGTAAAGAAGCACTTGGGTTTTGATATCACACTTTAAGAAAGTATTTTCCTAACCGTGTGTTGGTAGAACTGGTTTCCTTTATGATCCCATGAATTCTACCTTGTGCACCGTGGAGCAGGGGCCTCAACAAGGACTCCGGGAACTGGGACTCCCTTGCTGAGCCGGAGCGGAAGTCCCTCTCTGGGCCCTTTTTCCTCCTCCATGAGATGCCCGCTGGTCTTCTACCTCCTGGGGCCCTGGGCGTGGCCACATAAGACAGAGCTCGTGAGGAGCCTGACATGTCTCAGGGGGTCCTAGTGGAGGCCCGGCCCACAGAGGCTGCAGATAGAGGGAGGTCAAGATGCTGGGGTGTCTGAAGAACAATGGCTGGCAGGTCGGGAATTCCCCAGGAAGGGATGTCAGCTGTGGGCTTAGCCTACGGGGCTACGTCAGGGCACGTGGGGAGCCTGGTCAGACAGGTGCGGATGGGGTCACTGGTTCATGCTTCATAGCAGGGGCAGGAGAGAAAGATGGAGAGAAAGGGGTGGACAGGACAGGCAGGGAAGGGGGTTAGCAAAAGAAGTCGGGTGCCTCTGACCTGCAGGCCGCAGCCACTCCCCTATGACAGCAGCCCCGAACCCTGACATGCTCCAGTCCTGCGTGGAAGCAGCCGCTGCAGGGGGAGAGGTGTAGGCCCATCCCGGTGATCAGAGAAACTGCAATCCCGTGGGGAGGTCCTGCCCCCGGGCGGCGGCAGGTGACTGGCCCGGGAGCCTGTGAGGAACAGTGGCCTCTAGGTGGCGGGAGTAAGCCACAGACGGGTGAGCCTCACTTCAGCACCACCCCACCCCCAAGCCCCAGGGAGGGTCAGCTGGTTCCCAGCAAGAGCCACAGCTGCCCCCCAGGACTGTGAAGTGGCCGAGGCGAGAAGGTGACCAGTCCCAGAGAGCAGCCTCACTTGTGAGGGCTGTGGCGGCGACCAACTCTGAAACTCCCCAGTGCCCCTGGTCCTGGATCCCTCAGGAGCTCTGGACTTCCGGGACCTTGCTCAGAGCATTCCCGCCCCCCAGCAGACCCCTCCTGGATCTCACCGACCTCGGGACATCCTCCTCCACGGAGCTTCCCCCAGCAAGCTGCCCAGGGGTGCCAGACGTTCCTGTGCCCTCAGGAAATTGCACCCAGAGGCTGAGAACATCAGAACCGTCGATTTTCCTGTGGGGCGTCCCTGCAGGGTGCTGCTCCAGCCCCTACTCCCATCCTCAGCAGCTGAAAAACTTTCCTTCCCCATGTGCAGGCACACATGCACACGCACACATGCACACACACACATGCACACATGCACACACACACATGCACACGCACACATGCACACATGCACACGCACACATGCACACACACACATGCACACGCACACATGCACACGCACACATGCACACGCACACATGCACACACACACATGCACACGCACACATGCACACGCACACATGCACACGCACACACGCACACATGCACACGCACACATGCACACATGCACACGCACACATGCACACACACACATGCACACGCACACATGCACACACACACATGCACACGCACACATGCACACATGCACACGCACACATGCACACGCACACATGCACACGCACACATGCACACGCACACATGCAGGCAGGAGCCTCACACACACAGGGAGCCACTTGCCCAGAGGGCAAGGCCTGGGTCCCACTCTGCCGCGTTAGGGTTTCGGTTAAACCCTGAGAACAGAGTCGGAAATGCACATAGCCTGAAAGAAGGGTGGCTCATAGCGGAGGCGTCCCTCTCCTGATGAAGGAGAGGGACGCTCACTCACCGAGCCTGTCTCATCCTGGGAGCCACAGCCACATGATGTGCAGGTGCAGGGGAGAGGCCTGATTAGGAGCTGCCACGGGGTGAGGAGTGCCTCACTCCCCTTCACAGACCCAGCGGCTGCACGACACCAGGCTAGGTCTCTGTGGTCACCTGTGGCCAGCCTCACCTGGGGCTGAGGCCCAGGAAACAGGAGGGTTCCGTCTCCTCCTCCAGGGTGTCCTCCACACTCGATGTCTTTATGGACAGAGACATATGGATAGGCCTTTAGGAATTCTCTGTAGGCAGCAGGGCCCTGTCCTGAGGGCGCCAAGGAGATGTGTCCCACCTTGGAGGTCTGAGGGGGCAGCTCTGGCCCCAACAGGCGTCTAGGGAGAAACCCCCCGTCCACCCCACAGAGCTGGCCGCACCTTTGGCCCAAAGGCCTGCCCTCCCCCATCCTGAGTCCAGGAAACTTCGGAAGCTCAGGCCATTTATTTTTCTATTTGCGTCCCCCGCCCCCTGCCCGCCCAAAGCCGGCCATGACCCCAGTGGCCGCTATCCATGCTTCCCCTCTGGCTAAGGCAGAGCCGCGGTGGGAAGGCTCCTGCTGCCAAACTCACACGGAGCCCCACTTGCTTCCTGCAACCACAGAGCGGGGGCCGGGGAATCCTGCAGCCCCAGGAGCCCCCACCCCCTGCCACCCCGTGGGCAGCCCTCCCACAGCCCAAGCACCTAGGCACCATCTCTGCGCCCCGTTCCATCAGACCCTCCAGCCCACCTTGGGGGCTCTGCCGAGCTGTGTCCCCAGTGGACCCCACCCAGGCCTCCCTTGGATGCCCACCGGCAGGTCAGCGACGGGGCTTAGGTCCAGCAAGTGTTCCCCTGTCCCATGCACCAGCAGATGAGGGCAGGGCATGGGGACTGGGCCCACTGCTCCTGGCTTTGCCATTGCAGCAGCCGGCTCTCTGGACCTCAGTCGCCCAGTCTGCAGAATGGGAAGAGCCACCTGCCCAGGGGAGCGTCTCTCGGAAAGTCCCCAGCCCAGCCCATGCCTTGGCCCAGTCCCAGCTCCCTCCCACAGAAGCAACGCTGGGGGAGGCAAGAGGCATCCCCAGAGGCCAGCGGCGGCCCTGGCGGCCTGCTCCAGGCTTGCTCTAACAATGCACTTCCCCCACACAATTCCCAGAAATGCTGCCCTGCCAGCCCGCCAGCCTGGCGGCCACTCCACCCTCCCCCTCCCCAGAGGCCCCAGGCAGCCGTGGGGTCGGGCTATGGGTGAAGCCTGGAGACCCAACTCACAGGGCAGCAAAACCAGGGTTCCCTGAGGCAGCACCTCCCAGGGGCCCACGCCTCCCAGAGAGAGACCAGGCAGACTCCCGGGGCAGCCAGAGCAGGGGCTGAGAGCCAACCTTGGCCAGGCCCCCCTGCAAAAGCAGAGCCTCCTGCCTTCTCCGCTGGCGGTGAGCCCGTCCCTCCTGCCCTGCACAGCCGCATCTTCACGTAGCAGCTGAGCTGAGGCAGATCATGCTCTACTCAGAACCTCCCAAGGTCCCATCTCACTCAGAAAATGCAAGACTCTCCCAGACCCAACTCAGCCCTTGTTCCCTCTGAGCCTCATCCCCTCCTCTCCGCACCCCCTGCTCCGCTCACGCCAGCAGACTTCCCTGCCCCAGGGCCTTGGCACATGCTCCTCCCTCTGTGAAAAGACCCCTCCCATGAACCCCCAAGGGCAAAAGCCATGCGTGACCCTGACACAGCCCCCTCCCTACACCTGGCACCCCAAGTTCTGGCTTGTTTGTGGATTTGTTTTTGGTTAGGTTTGTTTTGTTTCATTTTTGTTTTTTGAAACAGTCTTCCTCTGTCGCCCAGGCTGGAGTGCAGTGGTGACATCTCGGCTCGCTGCAACCTCTACCTCCCAGGCTCAAGCAATTCCTGTGCCTTAGCCTCCCTACTAGCTGGGATTGCAAGCATGTGCCATCATGCCCAGCTAATTTTTGTTTTTTGCTTTTGTTTTTGTTTGGAAACAGAGTCTCACTCTGTCACCCAGGCTGGAGTGCAGTGGTGCGATCTCAGCTCACTGCAACCTCCGCCTCCCAGGTTCAAGCGATTCTCATGCCTCAGCCTCCAGGGTAGCTGGGACTACAGGAGCCCACCACGCCCAGCTAATTTTTTTTTTTTTTTTTTTCAAGTAGAGACGGCAGTTTCACCATATTGACCAGGCTGGTCTCGAACTCCTGACCTCAGGTGATCTGCCCGCCTTAGCCTCCCAAAGTGCTGGGATTACAGGCGTGAGCCACTGGCCTGTTTGTGGATTTGTTGACTGTCTGTCTCTTCAGCAAAATGGAAGCTTCCCACAGGCAGGGACCTGTCTGTTTTGTTCTCTGCCAAATTCCTAACCCCTAATACAGGGTCTGCTACACAGCAGCTGCCCAAGAACAAATGGACATCCGGATAGATGTTGCCAGTCCCTGAGCAAGAAGGGGTGGATGAGCCCCCAGAACACAGGCCTGCCCCCTCTAGCCCATGTGGCAGCCCCAGCTGGCTGTCACTAATGCCAGGACAAGCAACAGAAAGAAACACACAGCTTCAGGCGTCCAGCCCTGCAGTGCCCCTCCGTGGCTGGGAGACAGATGACCCCTGAGGGTGTTCTCCCTCTCCCCATTTCCCAACCTGGCAGGGGAGGAGGAGGCTGGGCCAGCCCAGGACAGGGCAGTCAGAGTGGACACTGCCCTCCAGGGACCCTGGGGACCGGAGTGTGCTAACACATGCCCCACAGTGCAGGGTACACCGAGAGCCCCATTTGGGCCTCTGCAGAGCCACAAAGGGACCGGGGCTCACATAAGCACAGGACGAGGTCACCCACAGACCCAAGCCCAAGCCACCAAGGTCTGAATAAAGGCAGCCATACAAGCATGGAGGTGGAGACAAGGGTGGGGCCAGTAGAACTTGGGCAGGAGCTCCCAGCCAGTGGGGGCCGGGGCCGCAGGACAGAATGTCTGGCGCCTGCTCAGCCTAAGCTGGCCCCAGGCTCCCTCCTCCTGCAAGGCCAGCCTTCCTTCCTGAGCTGCAGTTTCCTGGCCCCTCCCTGCTGTTGCCTCAGAAACCCAGAGCAGCCCAGCCCACCAGCTTCCCATGGAACCCCCCCATCAACAAACAGCACTGGGAAGGCCGCACAACAGGCCGCAGCACCCAGGGACACAAGTGGCCCTGCAGCTGCCCCTAGGGCAGGATACCCCGAGGGCCACACGATGGTCCCTGCAGAGCTCAAGCAGCTGCTCTGACCCCGACTCTTGCCCAGTGCCCCTAAAAGTGGGCACAGCCCTTGATAACACCCTAGGTACATGCCCACCACAGCACAACACCCCAGAATTTGAGAACAGCTTCCACATCACCAGGGCCCCGGGAACACCTAGGAAGCCCTGCTCGCCGCAGGTGACCTAACCCTGACTGTCCGCAGCACATCTGCTGCCCGCAGCCCAGCCCCACCCTGTGCGAAAATTCAGCACTCCCACCCTCACCATCCCCTGTGGCCCTCAACCCAGAGAAGGCCCCACCCCTCTCAGTCCTGCTGGCCCATAGCACCCAGAGTAGAAGAGACCCTGACACCACACTGGCACATCACCCCTCAGACTACAAAAGCACCTCACTCGCACTGCACACCCCAGTCTGCAGGCCCCGGCACAGCCCCCCACACCCACACCCTCAGACCCTTCCCCAATCTGCACTGACACCCAGCTCTGCATGCAACTCTCGGGTCCACTGGACTGTGGCAAATCGTCAGGTGAACCCTAACCCCACACCTAACAGTTGAGAGGCGCTGCCCAGGTGAGCACGTGTACCTCTCATGCCTGCTCATGCCCAGGAAAGCACAGGCACCTCCTGCCGCCCCACCTGCCCTCTCCCAGAGTTGAGGCCGGCAGCTATCGGAAGCCCAGTGACACTGTGCATACCAGGACTAAGAGCTGGAAGGCACGGAGCCAGGAGAAGCCTCTGTCCCTGGGCAAGGGCCACCTGAACCAGACCTGTCATTGGCCAAGAGGGACATGCACACAACTGTGTCCACCTGGTTCTGAGGCATCGGGCGGCCTCCGCATAGACCCTGACCCCAGCCTCACACTCTCCCTGCCCTGGCCTCTGCCATGTCTCACTAGGCCTGGAGCCGCAACTCCAGGACAAGGCCCACTAAATACAGAGCTCCCAAGGAGCCGGACCTGTCTCAGCGAGTTCCGAAGGAAGCCCACCAAGGCTGCAGACAGGAGACCAAGACGCTGCCGTCTCTCGAGGACAGTGGCTGGAAGGCGGGGGCTCCCTGCGGAAGAGGTGTTCAGCTGTGGGCAGAAGGTAGGATCTGAACTGGGAGAGCCAAAGTTCGGGAGGCCAGAGAGCCCCCTCCACCTGAAACTGCATCCAACAGGAACCCCCACCTCCACCCTGAGGAGCAGGAGGGTCCAGGCCCCTCGGACTCGGTAATTGGTCCCAGCCTCGCTGCTCTTGCAGCCGCAGGGGCTGGGCTGGCG